GTGTTGTGTGTGTGTGTGTGTGTGTCGTTGTGAAGGCGAAGTGAGTACAGTTGAAGCTCTGAAAAGAGAGGCAGGATGGGATTACCGATGTTGGGATTGGCCGTGAGGAACATGTCGACGGCGTACTTCTTGGCGCGCGTGTCCTCGTGCTTCTTCTTGGCGTCGGAGTCGTCCTCGTCGCCGGTGAAATCGCGCAGGTAGGACGGGAGGGCGACCTCCTTCTTGCCGGGCTCCGGCCCGCCCTTGGCCTCGGCGCCGCGTGCGGTGCCGGCCGTCAGCTTCAGGGCCGACACGATGGCCGCGCCCTGGTTCTCGAGCTTCTCGACGCCGGCGGCGTCGTAGCCGTCGCGCACCTTCTTGTGGCCGGGCCGGGAGACGGCGGGCAGCGACGCGATGAAGTCGTCCCACTTGAGCGACAGCTGGGTCTCCAGCGAGTCGACCTTGGCCTTGACGACGCCCTCGTCGCGCGCCTTGGCAAAGTTGATGGTGGAGAACCAGAACCGGTCGGCCTTCATCGACTGCAGCTGACCGCGGCGGCTCGCTGGGACCTCGCGGATAGTGCCGCGGGCGTCCCTTCCCCAGCCCGTCTGTAGTTGATGTGTGGTGTGGTGTGATGGTGCGATTAGAAGGGTTTCATCATCGTCAGAAGCAAAACGAAGGCAGAATCGAGGTTTACCTGGCGCGTGAGGAGGGAGTTGGGGTTGGCCTTGGGCCTGTCAAAGTCGAGCAGGGCGCGGGCGAATCCCTTGGCGTCCTTGCTCACGTCCTTCTTGGCGTCGCCGTTGGTGGCCGGCACCGCGACGGGAGCAGCCGCAGGGGTAGCCCTGTGAAAGGCACTCGGGTGAGGTGGTGTGGTGTGGTGTGGAAGCGGAGGGCGGTGCGGGTCAAATCGTACGTCGCCTGCTGGTAGCGAGGGCCGTTCGTGGGGAATGGATTGAAGCCGGGAATGAACGTCGGACCCTTCCGCTTGATGTTGGGTACGCTCATCTGGACCAGTCGAGAAAGAAAGAAAAGAACGAAAGCGACGTCAGCCCCAGTTTCGCGCTTGAGGGTTGGGGCGGTTGTTTGTTACCTGGATGAGATGGGTGCCCAGCATACGCGACTTCTCCTCGGCGCTCCTGGTGATCTTGGGGGCGCCACTACCACCAGCGGCGCCGCTGCCGCTGCCGCCCTGGCCGGGCACCATGGCGCTGGAGAGGGCCGAGTCGAGCAGGGACGGACGGGTGGAGGGACCCTTGCCGCGCGAACGACCCACGGTGGGCGGCTTCTTGACGACGGTGGTCGAGGCGCCACCGCTCGCCGCAGCGTTCGGCGCGGCCTTTTTGATAATCTGCTGGGATCCCTGTTTGCGCGGCTGTATGTATCAAATATATGGATATACATGGAAAAACATTCGAATACACACATAAAGATAAAGAAAGAATATAAAAATATAACAGTACGTAACAAGTAAAGTGGACAAATCAATCAAAAAGACAAAAAACAATAAAGAAAATCGGTTGTTAGTGAGGAGAGGGGTGGGTACGGTGTGGGGCAGGTCGTCCTGGTCGGGCTTGGTGGAGGCGAGGCCCGACGCGGCCTTCTTCTCCTTGTCCTTGCCCTTCTTGGCCCGCTCGGCCTTCTCCTTCTCCCGCTCCTTCCGCTTCTCCTCCTTGGCCTTCTCCTTCATCTCCTTCTCGAGCTTCTTCTTCTCCTTGCGCTCGATCTCCTTGCGCTCCCGCTCGAGCTTCTTCTTGTCCTTCGTCGTGGCCGCCATCGACGCCGACGATGTGAGGCCGGACAGGGCCGCGGCCGCGGCAGCCGCCGAGGCGGCCGTGGGGCTCGTGGGCGTCGACGGCAGTCGGTCGGAGCTCGTCGTCGGTCGCAGGCTGACCTCATCGCTGCTCTCCTCGCCTGGCGATCGCGCGCATTAGTCGTCGACAAACGAAACGAAAAACAACTCGTTTGGGAGAGAAATGCGAAGAATGCCGTACTCTCGCTGGTGCTGTCTCGGGCGCCGTTGTCGCGGGCAAAGTCCTGGCTCTCCCGGTCCTTCTTCTCCTTCTCCCGGTCCTTCTTCTCCTTGAGGAGCGCCATCTGCTTCTTGGCCCACGAGTCCACCATCGACTCCTTTCTCTCCAGGGGCTAGCTCGCACGCACAACACACACCACGCACACGACATAGGGTGTCAAATGCAGATCATGGCCGCTCATGAGAGTTGCTGTGGCGGTGGCGTACCACTCTCTTGCTGACGACGGTCTTCTTTAGCTTGTCATCGTCGCTCCTCTCCGCGTCCTTGTCCCTGGCCTCCTTGGCCCGCCGCTCGCGCTCCTCGCGCTCCCTCCGCTCGGCCTCCTCCTTGTCCCGCCGCTCGCGCTCCTCGCGCTCCCGGGCCTCGCGTTCCTCCCTCTCCCTCCGCTCGCGCTCCCGGCGCTCGGTCTCCTCCCGCTCGCGCAGCCTCTCGCGCTCCTCCCGCTCCTGCCTCTCGCGCTCTTCGCGCTCCTCTCGGTCCCTCCGCTCCTTCTCCTCGCGCTCGCGCTCCTCCCGATCCCTCCGGTCTCGTTCCCGCACGCGGGCCTCCCGCTCGCGCTCCTCCCTGTCGGCCCTCTCGCTTCGCTCAGCCCGCTCACTACGTTCACTGCGTTCGGACCTCTCCGACCGCTCGGGGCGCTCGCTGCGGTCGGAGCCGCGCTCGCTTCTGTCTCGCCGCTCCTTCTCCTCCTTCTTCTTGGCAATCCGCTCCTCGATCTCCTTCTTCTTTCGCTCCAGCTCCCGCTTCTTCTTCTCCACCTCCTCCCGCGCCTTGGCCTTGTCCTCGGTGCTCGGTTTGTCGAGCTTGTGCCGCGACGAGCCCCGCTCGGATCTCCGCTTCTCGGCCCGCAGCGCGTCCTGCAATCAATCAGTAAACCGGCTTAGCTCATCACGGCGCTATAGAACAGGCAGGCACGACTCTCGGTCGAGGAATATGCAGAAGCCACGCGCAGGTGGGTGGAGTTGAACACTGCGAGCGTACCACGTCCTTCTCCGAGGTCTTCCTGCGGCGAGCGTCCACCGTGGTGGCGACCGAGCTTCGACGAGCGGCCCTAAGCTCTCCGTTGACCCGATCGTCGTCATCTGTTTATGATGAAGGGAGGAATGAAAAGGTGAGACCTAGACCGCTCTGGATGTGCAAAGAAAGAAAGAGAGAGAGGACGAGAAGACGAGAAGAGAGAGAAAAGCGACGGACCGTCAGAGTCGTGCAGGTTGAGCTTCCGTCGCTCGCGCTCTTCGCGTTCGCTCTCCTTGCGTTCGTGTTCGGCCTTCTCCTCGCGCATGGCCCGGAAGGACACGCCGGAGCCCGATCGCTCCGTGGTCGGCCGCTCCGTGGTCGTGCCGCGGCTGCTACCGGGCGAGGGCGCGGGCGACCCGATCCCCGAGCCCGACGACGACTCCCCGCGCACCGAAGAGCCGCGGGAACTGGACGACGTCAGGGTACGCTTGCTCCTGCCCGCGTCGTCGGCCTTCTCTCTGTCGCGCCTCTCGCGGTCTCGGGTGGAGACCCGGCTGCTCTCCTCCTTCTGCTTTCTCTCCTCTTCCTCCTGAGGTGGTTTGTGTAGAAAGAGTAGAGACTGAAGATGAGAAGAGAGAAGCGATTATAGAGGAGATGGAGCCTAAGGCAGAGAGAGATGCGAGGGGGGGGGCGAGAGGTGCCTTGGCCTGACGCCTGAGACTCGCTGCTACGTCAGTCGTGTCCACCGCACCGGAGAGGCGGGACCCTCGCCTGGCAAATGGGTTCCAGCTCTTGCGCTTCTCGTGGCGGTCATCCCATTCCTCCCCACTTCCTTCTTCGTGACTCATCTCTAAGTCGACTTCTGCAAAGTCGAGAGGGAATTAGCGTCGCTCGGAGGAAGTGCAAAAAAGAACGAGTGTGGTCTCGCCTTGGTCGGTGGCTTCGCGAAGAAGGGGATGATTTTTGAGATGGTTGTTGTGGAATTTTGTACGGCAATAAATGAAACGGAAAGTGTAAGAAATGCTTGAGGGGGCGGGACAGAATGTGGAGTTGATGCAGTTGATGAGCGGTCCAGCTTCGAGTGAATGTGGCCAAACGAGAAGACCGAAGCAAGCGAAGACGAAATTCGAATTAATTCGCGGTTAATTGGTCGGATAGCGAAGAGAGGAAGCGACGGTGAAGTAGAAGAGGTGTAGTAAAGATTATGTGTGGCGCGCTGTAGATAGCGGTAGTTACCTAACCAACAGCTTGGACCTCCCCTGGCCAATCTTGGGAAGCTGATCTTTTTCTCCAAGTTACCGACGCGTAAGGCAGAACAAGAGGATGAGAGGATTAGCGAGAGAGGGCCGTCTTTCCTGATCCCCTCGTCTTCTTCTCTTCTTCCAATAGATGTTCTCTACGGCGCCGCGTATCGACTTCCTCTTTTCTCTGTCCTCCCGCTCTTGGTGTTGGTTTCCCCAACGGCGTGGGTTGGAACTCTGCAAGTGTCGACAAAAAATTCGCTATTAGGGATCTCATACCAGCGTGCATACCAACACGCGAAAATTCGGTCAGGCACGATGATAAAAACATCGTGCGAAGGCGGGAGCTCGAACGTGAAGGAGGAGATGAACACGAACCCGTGGCTCGTTTGGCCTGGTCGTACCACCTCTACTGTCACTCTTGCTTGCTTGGTTGAGTTGCTTGATTTTTCCCAATTTATTTATACAAAAGGATTGAAAAAGGGAGCAAGCAAAACCAAGAGGTGTAAAAAATGACCAACCTGGAGGCAACATAGAAGAGGACCACTTGAAGAGACTTCACCTTCAGTGGATCCTGTACGAAGAGCGTAGCGAGATGACGATGAGACCGAGGACAAACAACGCCAAATGCGCACACCACCAGGGAGGAGAAGGTGACGGACCTGGACTTGATGGTTTCAGCGAGAAGGAGGAACGCCTTGTTGACATTATCGCCGTCCTTGGCGCTGGTCTCGAGAAAGAGCGCCTCCTTGTTCTTGGCGAACTCCTGAGCTCGCCGTGTGCTGTGAGGACACGGCTCGTACGGCAACAGAGGAGAAGATGGCGATGACACATACCTTTGCCTTTCGCTGGTCAACTGACCTGTCGTCATCCAGATCGCTCTTGTTACCCTGCAGATGTGTGCAGCGTTAGATCCGCCAATAGACGTGAGCGATTGATCAATGTGAACGAAGGCCACAAAAACGAAGAGGAGGAGAGAACACGTACGACGATCATGAGGGCGGCATTTGGAGGGGCGTGCATCTCGACCTCCTTCAACCAATATTCGTTGATTTGCGAGAAGCTCTGTGGACGTCAAGCGAGGGTGAGCATCAGAGTATTAATTGTGCGACGTAGCTCTAGAGGTCGATCTGTCTTGCTAACTTACCTTGGGGTCCGTGATGTCGTAGACCACAATGACACCGTGGGCGCCGCGGAAGTACGTGTTCGTCACTGTCTTGAACCTGCAAACACAAAACGAGCAAACACGATCATTTGTGAGCATGACGATTCACGCTGTTATCTTTTGCCCCTTCATCCGGACACAACGTGAGCTGATCCCTCTGTGGGTTGTGAGGAAATGAGCACCTCTCCTGTCCGGCCGTGTCCTGTTCGATGCGCATACACGAAGGAGAGCCGGGATCAGTGCGCGATGCTACGAGAGAAGGAAGAGGAGGGATCACAGTACCCATAGCTGCAGCTTGACCACCTTGTCGTCAATGTCCACCGTCCGGATCTGTGCAAGCCAAGCGCGACCAGCGGAGCGCAAAGGGTCAACGAGCGCGCTTGGGCGGAAGGTATAAAGAGCAGGCCTAGGTCGTTGAGCACAAACTAACATACCTTGAAGTCAACGCCCACGGTAGTGCGGTAGGTGTCCATGAATTCGTTGTCCGCGAACCGTCCCAGAAGCGACGACTTACCGACTCCCTGGCTTCCTGCAGATCCCCAATTTACGACAGATAAATTTTTATCAAAATGAAAATGCAAGCCAACGTGATTGTGGCTAAAATGTGGTTGTGGCGCAGTACCGAGAAGTAGAATCTTGAAGAGATAGTCGTATTCGGACGTGCTTTCGAATTGGGCGCTGGAGAAGCCCTTGCCATCGCGCAAGCTCTCGCTGCTGGCGTGGCTCAACTGCATGGGTGGCTCTTTCTTGATTCGTATGGGGTCCTCTTCCTCTCCTCCTCGATTGTATCCTTGGTTGCCTCCCCGACCTCCATCTCCCCTGGACTCATTCCCTCCAGTTCCTCTATCGCCTCCGCCATTTCCTCCATTTCCGCCCGATCCTCCGGCGTTTCCAGCTCCCGCTCCCGTCATCTTTGAGCTATCACAACCCATCTTGTACGATCGTTCTCTGCAAAACAAGTCAAGATTTGAGCTCGCCGCAGGCGAACCCCAAAAGAACACAAAGAGAAAACATTTTCCTCCCACTTCTGCGACCGCCTCCTTAACTGACGAATGGTCAACGCTTCCACAAGGAAGTGGGTGAAGAGGAATCATTGGCCAACATAGTGGCCAAAACGATAGTTGGAGGGAGGCAAGATGAAGAGAGCAGCACTATGCTTGCTAGGCTGATGGTGATGATGACGAAGACGATGGCCATCAGCCCTGAGCCTTGAGCGAATCCCCAGAGGCGCGGGAGGAGGCGGGGACAAAACGAGAGTCGAGGATGGACTCTACGATCGTCGTGAGCATGTTCACGTCGGCGATGAAGTTGATGATGGGGGCAGGAGCCTGTTCGGAAATTCCTTGGGTCGAGAGAGGCAGAGTAAGAAGGGATGAGGTGGTGAAGAAGAAGTAGAAGAAGAGCGATACATACCCTCTCGAGAGGTCATGGCGATGCAGCCGTGGAAGGTGAGGCCCAAGCGAGCGGAAGTGTACAAGTTCAGGTGGCGAGAGGTGATCAACTGAGGCGACCGAGGGTGGAGAGAAGGCGTCAGGGAATCCAACCAAACAAAAAGAGGGCTGCGCTGTCATGCGGCGATCGTACCTCGACCACGTGCGCTCCTGGCCGTGCAGCGAAGAGGTTGATGAAGCCTAGAGGTCAACGCCAACGAATTAGCTTAGTGAGTGCATGTGCGTGCAAATGGAATCCGAAGATGTTGTGACGAGCACCTGCTCCATGAGGACCCATGATGATGTCGGCCTCGCTGAAGAGCTTCATCCCATCCGTCGCGTTCATGTGAGCGTGATGCTCGATGAAGTTGATCTTCAGATGGCCCGTTCGATAGTGGTCGTCCTCCTGGATGTCGACGTCCTCCTTGTCTTGTGTGGACAAACGCTGAAGCTTCGCCGGATAAGCGGCGACGAGGTCGAGGATCGCCTCCTTGACCTCGTCGTAGTTGAGAATGATCCGTCCCTTCCACCCGTGGGGCTTTCGCACCATGAAGAGGATGTTCAATTCGATGTCCTCCTTGGGCAGACTGACCTTCGCCGGATCGTCGATCGCCAGCACGCTCAGCCGCCGGTCCTCCGGCACCTCAAGGGCGTTGAGCAGAGTCTGCGAGATCAACTGCGTCATCCCGATCGATGGCACGTCGTTGCGTTCTACGTATTGCGTATAGTAGACCACATCAGCCTGCACCTTCGTGTTCCACAGCAGACGATCCCTGTAATGCATTTGTGGTACGTGGGAGCGCAAACAAGTTATAGGTCCGAATCAACGACGCAGAGAGCATTAGCACAGAAGGAAAAGCAAGAGACGTACTCGGATATGTTCAGGAACGCGTAGAGGGACTTGATCAGAGGATTGGGGAACTGCCAGCCCAGGTGGATGTAGATGTGCTCGTTGGCCTGGACGTAGGGCAGAAGCGTAGACAAACGGAAGTATTCGCTCACCATCATGTGCCAGAACATGACCTGGTGAGTGTGCGATATCACGACCACCTCCTTCACCTTCTTCCATTCTCCGTCCTTGGAAGTCTGTCGAGACACACAGTCAAAAGGATGAGTCGACATGGAGAAAAAGAACGCCACGTTTGAAGTGATGCCAGCGACCGCAAGCGCCTACCTGGTTCTTTGCTGTGGGGAAGTATTGATGGCGGAAGTCGGTCAGGTTGAACGTGTCGGGCCACATGGAAATGAAGACGTCGTCGCCAAGCACGGAGCCGGCCTTCGTGATCCAGGCATCGTAGACCACGCCCACCGCCGGCGGGTGGACATTCTGGCCTCGTCGCAGTATCGTCACGTCGTTGTACTGAACACGACGAAGGAGGCAGCGCATAGCAGCGGACATGTCAGAACAGTGCGCCTCGAAAGTGCATTCAAGAAGAGTCTGGACCGAAAAGCGCACCTCCTCTTTCTGAAAGGCCGCGACCAGAGGCTTCAGTACGTCCTTCTTCGTTCGGTAGAGAGCGAGAGCAGGGCCGATCGAAGGATAGAAGCGAGGAGGCTGGTAGAAGCGATAGTAGCGGTCGAGCAAGGTGTAGGAGTCCATGTCCGCGCACATCGAGTTGAAGGCGGAGCACGGCAGCGTGTAAGAAGACTTGGCCGCTGCACTCGGCATCAAAAGAGACGTAAGCATCTTGCGAAGGAAGACGAGAAAGGCCTTGAAGTTGAGGGACATGCATCATCGTACCACCCCAGAGTTGGTGCAGGTTGTAGTCGGAAGCGGGGAGAAACTGCAGCAAGCAAGGTTAGGCGCAGCCGACAACGCAAGAGACTTGGAGAGTAAGCAAGCGCAGTACCGTGGTCACTTTTACAGGAGACGTGGTGGCTTGAACGTTCTTTGTGAAGGGCCAACCAATTGACACGACGACCGCCACGATCGTGGTGCGGGGTGACGTCAGGTTTCAAGTAAACGAATGAACGAATAGTCCCCGAGCTGACGGATCCTGAAGCGCCCGGGCAAAAGGGAGAGGACGTACTCGTGTGGCCTTGTGGCGGGTGTATCTGGCCATGACCTCGTCATGCGTCTTCTTCGGCAAGGAGGGCGCTTGGGTTGTTGCGGGCTCTGCAGGAGCGCTGGCGCTGGCAGCTTTCGGAGGCGGTGATCTACTCGCCGGCGGTGCTGGCTTTTGGATTGACGGCTTGGCTTCGACGGCGTTGGGCGAGATTATTGAAGAGGATGTAGGCGGTGTTGACCTTTCTTCTGGCCCGGCTCTGAGCTGAGCGTCCAGGACGGCAGTGAGGCTGGTCGGATCTTCAACGGGGCCGTGCGAGCTGAGCGTAGCGAGCCAACCGAGGAATAAGAGCAGCATGAGGGCCAGAGCTCCCTGCCACCAGATGCGAGCGAGTGGTTGCATCTTTGGCGCGCAGAAAAGATGGCGGGGAAGATTTTAACAACAAAAGATCAACGGGGTCGGAGCTAAAAGAAGTGGGCAAGGACAGACGAACCTTGAGGTGAAGGCAATCAATCCAGCTAGGAGAAGAGATTGACTCTGTCTTCTTCTTCTCTCAACAAAAAGTGTACACGTAGCGTCTGCTTGCCAGGGCTATGACCCGCAAATACCAAATGGCCATAAAACTCGGAGCTTGGTAGGCACAAAAAATGCGAAGAATCCAACAAAATTCGCTATTAAATTGCTCCGCTGGGCAAAGGGCACACGCTACAAATTGACGAGGGCGTAGGCGCTCATGAGGGGAATCGATCGGCCCTTCAGGCCCGCCGAAGCGTCTGCGTGATGATCGTGGACGAAGGCGGCGACCTGATCGTGGAACCACCCGACGCAGGCGTCGGGCAGGCCGAACAGGGTCATCAGGGTGAGCATCTGCAGCCAGCGCTCGATGCCGCCGCGCTGGTAGCGCTCCCAGCAGGCCTCCAGCGGAAAGGTGCGACCGCACACGCCCTTGGCGACCAGCCGGGCGTGGTAGTCGGCGAACAGGCGTCGCTCGTGCTTGCGGCGGAGCTCGGGCGAGGCGTTGCTGATCATGAACTGGGCCAGCTCGGTGAACGGGCAGGCGATGCCCACCTCGGGCCAGTCCACCATGTACACCTTGGACCCGATGCGCGCGCCGTCGCCTTCGCCGTCGTCGGCGGTGCGCTCGCGCCCGGGCACCCAGAGAATGTTGGCCGCGTGAAAGTCGCCGTGGCACAGGGTGAAGGGCGTGGTGGGCTTGGTGACATCGAAGCTGCGCTGGTAGGTCTCCCAGCTGGTGGCGGCCAGCGAGTCGTCCATGGCACGCACCACCTCGTCACTCCACTTGACGCCCGTCTTGCCCTGCTCGATCGTGCGCTTGATCCCGAGCCACTTGCTGCGCATGCCGTCCATGGCCAGCTCCCACCGGGCGCGCTCCCGGCCCTGAAGCCACTCGGCGGCCTTGAGCCACGAGTGCCCGAGCAGCGACTCGTCGCGCCAGAACGCGGCGTGGACGTCGGCCATCGCGGCGAACACCTGCTCGATCATCTGCAGGCCCACCGATTCGGTCTGGAGCTCGGCCGGGAAGCCGCCCTTGACCGGACCCCAGCACTGGTTGCCCAGCACATGGCTGCCCAGCCGCGCGCCGGTGGTCGACAGGTCCTCCATCACCACCACGAAGTCGCCCGTGGCCCACGAGCCGTCGGCGTGGTACACCCGCGGCACCACCGACCGCACCTCCTGGCGCTCGGTGGCCGACCCGAGGGTGGCCAGGTTGGAGGCGAAGTTGCGGTAGAAGTAGGCCTCGCGCGCGTTGCCCAGCAGGATCGACGACAGGCGCCGCGCGAAGACCGGCGTCAGGGTCTTGACCACCAGCGAGCGCGGGCGGTCGATGTTGTCGACATTGTCGGCACTGTCTTCGTCCCAGGTGAGGAGGAGCTTGAACATGGCGCCCATGAAGCCGCCGCCCAGGCCGTCGCCCGAGACCTCGACGTGCCGGAGCTTGCCCTCGGTGCCTAGGAAACTCTCGGCCCAGGCGATGAGCTCGGCGGGCGGCGGCAACGGGGTGGTAGGCGACGAGGCGGCCAGCGCGCTGGCGATGCGGTGCGGCACGCTGCCGGCCGCGCGCCACTGGCCCCAGCGGGCGCGGAGCCACGACCACCGGTAGAGGAAGGTGTAGCGCCAGGCGGCCGAACCGCCAGACGCACGGGAGGCGTAGACCGCCACCGCCGACACCACGGCGATGACGAACAGCAGGAGGTACCCAAACATTGTGTGTAGGTCAAGTGGCGCGGGAGAATGACAGCCCCGGACGCCTCGACCTGTTTTTCCTCCTGTGCTCTTCCCTTCTCTGGTGGTTTTCTCAGCTGTGTGCAATTAAGGAATTCGCTGAACCATCCTCTGGAATGTCGATAAATTCTCAAGAGAAGAGGGAGAGCACAGAGATCTTGGTGTACGGTTGGGGCTAAAGTTGGGTACAAGAGCGGAAGGGGACTGTTGGCTGTTGGCGCTAACAGGGCTAGAGGTCGGAGTAGTGGTTGTAGTCGAAGATGGTGAGGGTGGATCTTGTGCCCACGGCCAGCCTGTGGTCGACAAAGTGGAGGCACGCCACGGCGCTCTGCTGCGACAGCGTCGACAGGCACTTGCCCGAACCCATGTCCCACACCTGGTCAATGGAGGAAGAAGGTGTGAGCACTTCACGGAAGCCACCGGCTTGAGGTGGAGAGGTCACCTTGACGGTTTCGTCGGACGACCCGGAGAGAACTTTGTTGGCGTCGAACTGGAGGCAGCCCACGGGTCCTCCGTGTCCGGAGAACGTGCGCGTGCATGGCCGCGACACCTGCCTCATGTCCCATGCCTGCACGCGGCGAAAAGAAAACGAATGTGAGCACTGTGGATTCACGGTGGCATCGCGACACTCGAGATGAATGGATGGACCTTGATGACTTTGTCCAGCGAAGCGGTGAGCAGCAGGTTGAGCGACTGGTCGTACTGCAGCGATGCGATGGACGCGGCGTGGCCTGAACGGGACGAAACAAGCAAACAAAAGCCGGTTGAGCGCAAATGAATGGTCACATGTGCTGCAACAGGGCGGCGAAGTACCGGTGATGGAGCCGACGCATTTGCCCGTTTCGATGTCCCACACCCGAGCCGACTGATCGGCGGAGCCCGTGACCAGGAGGCCGCCTGCGAAGTCCAGGCACCAGATCGACCCGTTGTGGCCCGTGAGCGTCGAGAGGTGCTCTCCACTCGCAGACGCCCATATCCTGGATAGCGGCGTGGGGGGGGGAAGCGAGCGTGAGAATCGTGAGAACATTGGCGTGGTTGGCACTCGGTACCTGACGGTCAAGTCCTGCGAGGCGGTGGCGAGGATCTGCTGGTCGAAGCGGAGCGCGCACACGCGCTCTGTGTGGCCCGAGAGGGTCTTGAAACACCGGCCCGTGTCTAGTCGCCAGTATTTCACGTCCTGCATGTGGTGTGTAACGAGAGCGAGATTCAGCCCATGGTCCTCTCGACATGCTGCAGTCATTAATGACGGGCGGGTAAGGACATGAGTGCAAGGGAGGAAAATACGTGGTCGTCGGATCCGGAGATGATCTTCTCGTCGTCGAACTGCACGCAGCGCACGGGACCGTCGTGGCCAAAGAGAGTGTTCGTACTTGTCACTCGCTCGACATCCCACACCTTCACCACCTGCGCTTTGAGTAACAGCAAGTGTTGGAATCACAAACTCGTAGGCACCGAACGGAGGAGCAGCTGGACAATAGACAGACAGCAAAGAAAAAAAAAGAAAAAAGTTGTGAAAAAGGTGGTGCCTTGTCGATGGAACCGGTGACCATGGTGTTGCCCTGGAGCTTGACCGACGAAATAGGGCACACCGTCACCGGCGTCCACCTGGTGGGACAACGGCAACCCGACGATGAGTTAAAAAATGGAGAGCTGGCGCCAGGGTTGGGCGTGAGACGGTACCAGTGAGTGCCCCTGTTGAATATGCAGCGCGGTGCGAAGTGCTTGGTCGCCCAGTTCGTCTCGTAGCGCAACCGCCTGTGGAGAATGAACAGTAAGAGGCAGTGCGGTCAGCCAAGCTAACCTGATCGTGTGCATTGTTGGCCTGGCCAGGTGGGTGGAGTGGGTACTTGAGGTAGCGCTCGATCCACGAGGTGGTGTCCTGCAGGTGGCGCGGGACGGCAGCGTTCTTGCCGAAGCGCTTCTCGTACTTCTTCTCCCACACGGACAGCTGTTCGAGCAGACAGACAGACAAGTGAGCCATGAGACCGACGTGCGCGTGAGAGCTGCCGAGGGAGGGCACCTCGTCTGAGATCTTGCGCCAGCGTTTAGAGGACGAGACGAAGGCCCACAGGTCCTTTCCATCAAGGAATCCCATGATCAACGCGCCACATTCCTGTGGCAGCTCGCCCAGCCTGCGCCAATTGATACCGTAAATGCCGGCAATCATTGTGAATGGCATTGAATCAAAATTCGAAATGAAAATGAAATCAACAACGATGTGCGAACAAGGGCTGTACCAGGCTGCATTGCTGACCGACTGGCTCATGTTTTGCAAATGGCTCCTTCAATCGTCGCAAGAAATGAAAATGAAAAGTAGAAAATGAGACTAATGAGATGAACAGCAGAGAAGAATGATTTTACCTTGGGCCGTATATTGCCCTTCTTAAAGATTGAAGGCTTCAAGCGCACACAGCGATCAAGTCTGGCAAACGACAGACCCTCTGCGCCCAGCTCTGTTTGCCGTTGGTGAAAAGCACAAATTGGTGTTGGCACAATTCGTTCTCAATTTGTGACCCTCACCAGCTCTCCTGTAGGCTCAAGGAGCTCCAGCCATCACTTTGTGTCTCATTCCACACAAGCACATCACATGTGATCAGCAGCCACATCACACTGAGCTTCTTGCCTTTGGGGAGCCCCAAACATTTGCAGTTGCAACTGGTTTATGTTGTGGAGCAAAGGGAATAGGTGTGGCGATCGTAGCGCTCACTTGTACTGCTGCTGGATGTACTTGGCGATGGTCTGGAGCTGGATGTTGGACGTACCCTCTGGGCGTGATTGTGGTCAGCGGACTCAACGACACATACGCGCACACGCACGCACACACCGCACAAAGAGAGTGCTGAAAAGCCGACTTACCGTAGATCTGTCCGATCTTGCAGTCCCTGAAGTACTTCTCGACGGGGAACTCCTTGGTGAAGCCCACACCTCCCATCAGGCTGCCAGCGAACACGCGTTGGTGAGCGTCTTGCCCATTTCGCTTGGATGTCAGAAGGGGTGGTATGGCGTACTTGATGCACAGGGAAGCGACCTTCTCGGCCACCTCCGAGGCGCGCAGCTTGGCGATAGCAGCATCGATGACGAAGGGCTGACCAGCCTCCTTCAGGCGAGCAGCACTACATACGAGGCCAAAAGCCCAAGTCAACAAAGGCCAGCAACCAACGCAGCAACCACAATTACGGGCATCTATGGAAGACTCGAGGAAGAAGAAGGGTCATCGCGTACTTGTAGACCATGAGCTTAGCTGCGAGGATGTCAGAGTACATCGACGCGTACTGGAACTGCACGCCCTGGAAATCGGCAATGCTGCGAAGAATGTGAAGAATCAGTATAGCAGTTAACGATTAAGACTACGACGACTGAGCGGTTAGAGTACCTGCTGTTGAAAGCCTTGCGCTCGTTGATGTACTTCATGGTGTGGTCGAAGCAACCCTCGGCAACGCCCAGCATTTGCGCGCCAATGCCAATGCGGCCCTCGTTGAGCGTCTCGATGGCGATCTTGTAGCCCTTGCCCACCTCGCCCAGCACTTGGCTCGCCGGCACTCGGCAGTTCTCCAGGACCACCTCGCACGTCGACGACGCCCGAATGCCTGGAGAAGTGCGAATCGATCAACCACAGAGGAAGCCAAAGACGATGCAAAGGAGGAAGAAGAAGGGGGTGGTACCCAGCTTGTCCTCCTTCTTGCCGATGCTGATACCCGGAGTGTTCTTGTCGATGAGGAAAGTGGTGATTCCCCTGTGACCTATGGAAGACGGAACCGAGAATCGATTGACGCGCAGTAGTTGAGTCCCACACTCAATCACTGTGACAGCAATGAAGATGAAGCCGGTCAGGTGGTGGTGTACCGGCCGAGGGATCCACAGTGGCCATGACGAGGAACAGACCAGCCTCCTTGGAGTTGGTGATCCAAGCTGGCGAGAGAGCGGGGAAAAAAGTGAGATCAGAGCAGGCGAGAATGGTCGCCAGCATTTGGGCTTGGTGGTACCCTTGGTGCCGTTGAGCAGGTAGCCGTCGCCGTCCTTCTTGGCGGTCGCCTTGAGGGCGAAGGCATCCGAACCACAGCTCCACTCGCTGCGGTCGACACGCAAATGGGTGAGCCCCAACCGAAACGTTTGCAAGAACAATCACAGAAAAGAAATGCTGTTTCGTACGAGAGGCAGAACGAGCCGACGGTGTCCTGGGCCAGACGGGGCAGCCACTGCTCCTTCTGCTTCTCAGTTCCCCAGCGGATGACCGCGTTGTTGACCAGCGTGTTCTGTGTACACACAGACAAACACGGTCATTATTATTATTATTATTAATTATTACGAATTATTATGGATTATGATTTGAACGTAGTGTACGTGCCTGGACGTCCATGAAGACGGACACCGAGCCGTCGACCTTGGCCACTTCCTCGATAGCGAGGATGGCGGACATGAAGGACATGCCGCCGCCACCGTACTGCTGCGGGATCTCGATGCCCATCAGACCTGCATTGCCGCGCACGTTCGGTCTAAGCACGACGCACACGCATAGAGAGGTGCCCAGGATACGACATCAACGCGCCTTTGAGCATCGAGCGCACGTACCCTGCTCGAAGCACTCCTTGACAAGCGCAGGCTCGAGCTCGCTCTTCTCGTCCATGCTGCAGGAGGAGGAGGAAGAAGAAGAATAAGAAAGGTGAGACCGCCGGCTGAGCTTTGGTGTGGGTGCAGGAGCTGGTTCAACAACGTACCTCCTGACCTTGGGGCCGATGCGCTCCCTCGCGAACTGCTCGACAGAGCTTCGGAGCATCTATGAGGTGTGTATGAAGACAGCACGACAGTCAAGCTCAAGAGTATTACGGCGTCACACCAACCTCGCCAGGTGCGCCGGTGCCACATGCGTACCTCCTCATCCTCGCTGAGGGTGGTCACGGCAGGACGGGACGCCTCCTGCACCCCAAGACAAGTAGAAAGATGGTAAGCGGGAAATATCTTTGGAATTGATTACGATTGATTTACTACAACAAAAGATGATGGGATTATGAGCCAGTTCGTCACTGCCGCGCGTGTCGAGCTCTACGCATCAATTGGGTGGGGTGGAAGGATCTTGGTGGGGGGGTCGTACGGAATGGGTGGAGCGGAGAGTGCGGACAGAGGCACGCGTGGAGGTGATGGCGGTGGTGGCCAGACGCTGCGAAATCAGGGACGAACTGATTCTCCTCATTTTGCTGATGTTGTCTCACGCCGAATCTGAACGATTGGAATAATGCAGCATTGAATCAGCACCTTCTTGCCATTGCGTTTTTTTGCCAACGACAAGTGGGTCCATGCAAAGGAGTTCAAAATCACGACGTACCGGTGGCTTGCAGATGAGATAAAATAAAACAATGATTTATAAAACCAGAACTATGAACGAAACGCCAGTTGGGAGATAGGCGGGGATTGTCGACAAGGAACAAGAGCGTAGTGTACATTACTTTGCATTGATGATGCCACACAAGTTCTCTCTTACAGGATATCCTTTCGCTCGGCGTCGCGAGGCTCTCGCTGCAGGGAGAGGTCGTAGAGCTCGTCGTCTTTTTTCATCGTAAAGTTGGTTAACAGGCTCTGTGGGGACGAGAGCTCAGTTCACGAGTACGAACCATCACACGCACACCGCACACGCACACACCGCACGCGCGCCCACGCACGCACGCACGCGCCGTACCTGGATTTGAGGCACCGGGTGGAGGTTGTAGGCGTTCTGTTGGTAGCGCGAGATCTCGGAGATGACTCGAAAGAGGAAGCGCCGCTTGGTGAAGTTGATGAGCCCGCGTATGGTGTCCGGGTTGCCGTCCTCGATGAACGTCAGGTCGGACAGGTGCACGCCCAGGTACGGAATGCACGGCGGCGCCGATTGACTCAGCACGTCACTGGCGGAGTTCGATGGGTCAATACCGAGTCATCGGCCAGTGCGGCAGCGGTGGCGGCGGCGGCGGTGGTGGTGTACCGATAGGTCTTGTAGGCGTTGTCGCCGCGCATGAGCAAGTTGAGGTGCTCCAGCGTCTTGTCGGCCTTGCGTGACACCTCGGCTCGGGTGTAGGCCAGCCGGTACACCGGGCCAGACCTGCGTTCGTGTGTGTCGTGTTAGGCCCAAGGCACAGCGGATGTGGGCGGGGGAAATGGCACAAACCTGATCCCAGCTAGGAGGGCCATGAGCGTGTTAAAATTCTTGAGATTGTACAGGTGCTTGGCGATCGATGCGAATGTCTCCATGCACTTCACTCGGTCCTGTTATGTTGAGAGAAGGGAGTCATTTCGCCCGGTTCGAATCGATGACGCACGGCCAAAGCACTCATGCTCTCTCTGGAAGCACGGGTACCTTGATCCGCTCGTAGCTCAGCAAAGTGGTCGACACCCACATGCAGAAATCGTTGAACGCAATGATCATCTCGACCACGTGCGGCGCTTTGTGTCTGTGCGTGTCAAGCCACACCAGAAGCATGAGTCTCTTTAGCTCCGAATCTTGAAGCCCAATCGCTACGCGTACCGATTGCGGGCAGAGGACCAGGCCTGGCCGAATAGCTCCGATGCGCGGATGGCCTTGAAGCGCTCGAACTCGATCAGCGTCAGTTGTCGTGCGATCTCCAACGCCGGCACGTCCCACAGCGACAGCGTCGGACTAGAACACGCATCGTCAACTCCAGTCATGATTCGTGTGTGCGGTGGTGCGGATGTGTGCGTGTGCGTGTGCGGAGCGCAGGAGGGTGGTTATTGTGGCCGCCTACCTGCAAATATTACGGGGCACTTCGGGCTCAGGCGGCATCTGGGGAAATATGTTGGCGTGTCCGAGCTCCTCTCCGCGCAACAGGCGAGCCCGTCTCGTGATCGACATCACCAACGAGTGGGCCTGTGCACACGAAGAAAATGAAATTATTCTACCATCAGCCAAACGCATTTGGAAAACACAATCAAAAGTTTCAAACAAACGAACCATGGGAGCGTAGGCCGGTTGGCGCTGGCGCAGGAGGCGCCCGCGCACGAACGCGAGGAGGAGGTCGACGACACCCCTCGGCAGCTCCTCGTAGTTGGCCTCCACCCACTTCTTGAGCACCGAACAGATGCGGGCCTACAGAGCACACGCCCGGCAATCGTGCATTCACGTGGTGAGCTCGTGGCGTGTGCAGTGCCGTTGATTGTATGCGCGCGTGCCGCTTACCTGCTTTGCGAATGTGTCTGCATCGATATCCGGCTGTTCGTTCGGCTGCTGCGGCGCGGCGGTAACAGTCGTGGCGGTGGGCGACGGTCCCAAAGTCACCGCCGAGGACGCCAACGGAGACACCAACTACGATCGCACGAAACAAAATAATAATAAATAATAAACAATAATAACAACAGTGAGTCCCACAGTCTGAGCCCAACCGCACACAAGGCAAGAGCGCACCTGCTTCGCTGGTTTGACGATTATGTTCTTGATTCTGTGCGTGCGTGCGTTGTGTCGATGATTAGAAACACGGTGGAGACTAACCCGTGTGTAAGCCACCAGGTGGAGAGGTTGATGGGAACGTACCGTTGCGTTTTGTGAACGACCGTGACCGCGGGAGGCGGTGGGGGAGGGGGAGGCGGGGGCGGAATGAGAATTGCTCGCGGCTGCTCCTTGATCCCCCGCGACTCTCCCACGAAAATTGCGCTCGCGCTCGGCCTGTCGTCGCATGAGTGACGAGTGGCAAGATTAGCGTGCGGCGCACACACGAGCTGCACGAGTCCTGCATCACGATGGCGAGGCGGTGTATGCACATACTTTTTGCGTGTCGGAAGGGCTCCTCCGCTGGCATACAGCGCCGCCTTGTCCTTGCTGTATGTCTGTTGGTGCGGTGATAGCTTCAGTACAGGTTGTGCGGGCGCGCGTGTACATGCGTGTGCGTGCATGTGTGTGTGTGTGAACAAGGCGGAGAAAATGTGAGGGTTGTGTGAGTACGTCGCTCTCAGCCTTGGCTGTCCGCCAAACGCTGTTCTCTGGCTTGTCGCGCGGTCTGTGTGTGAGTCGTGTGGCGTTCAAGTGCCATAAAGGATTAGAGCCATTATTGCAATACCACGTGTGTGGGCTGTGTGGGCTGGCGTGTACGTGTTGATAGTCTGTCCGCGCTTGCGAGGTGTCGACGGAAGCTGATGCTCGCCCGAGGAACTGTCATCCGAGTCGCCCTCGCCGTCCACTCCACCCTCCTGGATCAGATGCCTCGTCGACGTCTATCGCAGACATCGTTAATAGAAACGCCACACAGACATCAAACATACAAATTAGAAGAGAAACACAAGCGATTCCATTTATGTACGACACACGACACACACGACACACACGACACACAAGCAATATACTAATAATGAATGTCTGGGCCTCTATATAGGTACCTTGAGGGACATGGATCCTAGGCACAGAGTGACTGGGCGGCGGGCGGCTTCGGGGGCCTCCTCGTCCCCGCTCTTGCCCTTGCTTCGCTCTTCTTCGTGTCGCTCCGCTCTTCGGGCGACTCTATTGTACTGCGGAGGAGGTCAATCATTAGGCGCCGAGACCTGATTGGCTGCTCGCTCGCCAACCAAAGGGCCAGGATTAAATCAGTTTTGGTGGTAAGTGGTTGGGCCAACACGCACCAATCCGATGATCTTGGCGAGTAGCACTTCGGAGGTCGTGAACGATGGGTAGGTGGCCAGGAAGGCCTTCTGCTCGTTCAGGTCCAAATCGTCGCCGGAGGTGATCATGTCCAGCAATCGATCCAGTGAGGCCGCCTAAACACACACAAAATGAATAAAAAATAATAAAAAAATTAAAAAATAGCCTGGCGGTGGAGAGTGGAAAAGATTGTCATGCGCGCACCTTGAATCGACCACCGTTGATGTGGTAGTAGAGCACCTCCTCCCCGCCTTCTTCCACCTCCTCCTCTTCCTCGCCTTCGAGTATTCGTTTGGCCTCCCACAGACCCAACACTGCACCACACACCACACACGCACCACCGCACACGCGGCACAGAGTAAGCTGTGTGTGTGTGTGTGTGTGTGTGTGATAGGAAGAGAAAGAAAGGAGAGCGGGCGACGTACGTCGGGAGGCGTGCGAGACGATGAGCGTGTTCCAGAGGCAATGGTCGTCCGTCAGTGTTCGCCATTTCCTGCAGACGCAGGCGGCTGCCGACAACTCCCGGATGTCGAGGTATGAAAATATGTGCAATAGGATCTGCGATACATGCCAGTGAGCAACCAGACGCGTCGTGTAGTGTGCGTGTCGTGCGTGTGTCACTTCATCGCTTAATGCGGCACGCACCTCCTTCGGCGATCTTGGCCACCGGGCAGCCGCTGGTGAGCGTGTTTCGCCGTGGGGCGCCGTCGTCATCGTCGTCATCCTCGATCATGCGCGCTGTCGAGCTGCGCCGTCGCCTGCCGCACACTTGACACGTGTTTCGCGGAGCCTGACACACGACACACGACGACCCACGACACGCCACACGACACACGACACGCGACACACGAGTAAGCCAATGGCTGACGAGCCAGAACACCTGGCGACCGCCTCGCGATGCGCACCTCGTTGATGATGCTGCACAGGCGGCACGACCAGCGGTCGACGCGCTGGGCCTCGTAGTCGGCCGACGCGCGCTTGTAGATGCGCACGCGATTGGAGATGTCCTCGTTGGTCTGCTCGGCCTCGACCCCGTCCTCGTCCTCCACCTCGCTCAGGAACGTGCGGAGCGACGTGCGCCACTTGACCAGCATCATCTCCTTGTTCCGCCGCAGCCAGTGCGTCGTGCCGTGCGAACCGCCCGACGCCGCGAACTGCTGCGAAGACGATGAAGATGAAGAAGACGAAGATGATGAAGAAGAAGAAGAAGGTGGTGACAACGATGAAGAAGAAGAAGAGGGGGAGGAGGAAGTGGGCGATGTGGGTGAGGTCGGGGAGCAGAGCGGGGTGGATGGGCCGGCGGAGCTCTCCCGGGAGGGGAAGGCCGAGAAGAGCGGCACGCTGAGCGGCGTCGGCGCCGACGACGGGTGGCCGTGGAGCAAGGACAGCGAGAGGTGCGGGATGGCCGGCGGTGTCGACGACGACGAGCCGGACTGCGACACCACGTGCGTGGTCGACGTCGACAGGTCCGTGCCACCCTTCTCCCTCTCCTTCCCCTTCTCCGCGTTCTTCCGCTGCTTCGTGCGGATCCGCTGGCTCTCTCTCACCGACGCCGACGCCGACGCCGCGCCGGGCGACGACTCACCGTCGCACTCCACCTTGGCCGCGCCCTCTTCCCGGTTGTTGGTGTGATCGATGTTCTCTTTGGCCCGCTTCTCCCGGTTGGCCCGCGCCTCTTCGCGCCGCGTCGACGACGAACCTCTGCTGCCCAGCTGTGGCGCCGCCGGCGGCATCAGCTTGTCTCCGGCATCACCGCCACCGCCCGCGCCACTGCCGGTGTCCTTGTCCTTGTCCTTGTCCTTGTCCTTGTCCTTGCGTCGCTCCTTTTTCGCTTTCCTGACCTTCTCGCCGCTGTCCTCCTCCATCACCAGCCCTCTTGAGGGCTGACCACCTTGTATCACAACTCTCTCGCTTCTCTTTCGCTATTTTCCCAGCTTGGTCTGGTGGGGCGAGGCAAGTGCAGTCCGCAAGTGGTCGAGGAATCAAAATCCTCTTCGCCTGTCCTGAGACCTGCACTTCACACCATGGATGAGAAGCAGCACAGAATTTGCAGAATCGATTGTGTTGAAGATACATTTTAATCTGCCCTTCAAACAAAGAAATCCAACCCGAGGAGGCAGCTGTACCAATGGATGAATAAATCTTATCCAAGATCTCTGAGAAGGTCTCCTTCACTTGGTCAGTGCTGCCCTTGTCAAGTGGCCAGTGGCGCACCTGGTTCTGTATTATGAATACTATGAATAATAATTTTATTTTTGCTGCGTGGTGCTGTCATTGGGCAACGCAGCGGCCCACAGGCGCGCACTTGTGGCTCAACCACTCAGCGCCACGCCAACACGCGAACATGTTTGTGAGCTGCTCATCAGGCTTGCTGCTCTTGATGGGGCGTCTTCTGTTCTTCTTCTCCCTTGGCGGGCTTTGGCAACACCAGCGGGACGTACCACTCCTCGGTCATGCCGGCCTTCTCCCTGTGCAATTTGTGCGTGTGTGGGTGGCGCGTGAGAACGCGAGGAGCCAAGAACGCAGCCGGCATGAAGTGGTTCACACGCAGCAGACGCACCTGGCCTGGTATTGAAAGGAGGCTTAAGTCCGCCTCTGAAGTTCTCGCGCACCACCTGGTGGAAAGTGGGGATGGGGTCCTGTGGTGCGAAACAGTCATTACGCTGCGCGCCTACATGATGACACGACGGCCAATGGAACACATACCAGGGGTGGGTCCGAGTGCTGGCACAGGTACGTGAACCACTTCATGCCGGCAGTGACGTGTGTGATCTCGTCCTGTGCTCGAACAACGAGCCGTGAGACAACGTTCAAGTTCATCAGATCAAGCTGATGGTGGGAAACTGCACAAGCGCACCTCGAGAATGACTTCAAGCAGATCGGCGGTCACCGGATCGCCTCCCGAACGAAATCGTGCCACGGTCGTGGGCATCTGATCGAGTCCTCGGGCCTCTGCGCATCACAATCATGAGTACCCTCAGCCTCCCAGAACTCTGAAAGGCCAAGGTGGCTTAAACGCGCGCACCATGGACCATGTGTTCGATGCACAGGCGCGACAAGAGGCTGCCCGAGGTCTTCTGAGCGCTCTCCCACAAGCTGTCCTGTTAGTGGCACAAAGCGCACACGCACCACCGCAAGGTTAATGGAACAGACAACGAACTGTTGGCCTCGAAAGGGAATGGAGATATGCATACGTGGGCGGGAAGGGCACCGTAGTGGGAGCCCAGCTCCTCGAGTCTCTTCTTGAGAAGCCCGTAGTGCTGAACGAGCGCGACAAGTGGAGGTATAAGTCGGGCGTAGCCGCACAGCGTATCAAAGGGGAGGAAGTACTACCTTGGCCTCGTCCGCAGCTATCTTCAACCAATCGGCGTAGAACTCGGCTGGGAGGTCGACCATCTTCTGGAATCGCACCTGATGAACCATACGGCCACGAAGAGAGCGATCAGCCCTCGTGGCGCCAAAGTACCAAAGTAGAGATACGCTGTAACGCCAACGATTGTTCGTACCATGATGTCCCAGCTCAAGTCCACAGCCTGTGAAGCACATCCATCACATGAGCAGAGTGAGTGAATGCGCTGCTTACAGAGAGTGCAGGTGAAGAGGTCGTCATACCATAGACTCAATGTGAACCAGCGAATGGACCATGGCGATACGGTTGGCCAGGCTGCCGCCCTTGCCCCGCTTGGGTGCCAGGTGCGGCGGGAGCAGCTCAACGTGCTCCGGGCGTGCTGGTCGGTCCGGCGCCACACCCGTACCTACGTTGTCCTTCGGCAATGCCCCCTGTGACACCCAAAATAACCAATAACACCACGTGAGGCGGAGCAGCTCAGGTCGCTGCAAGGCGCGTGGGCGAGATGCAATATTTATGTAAGATAAAGATGCATGAGTTTCGTACGGAATGCCAGAGATCCAAGGCGCGGAGGGTGTAGGCCGCCTTGAGGTCGGTGTCTGCCGTGTTGAGCACCTTTACTGCCCACTCAACCACCGTTTTCGGCTCTTCCATCTTGGGTCCAGCTTGTCTCCTTTCTTTTTGTTTTTCTTTTCATTTTTTTGGTATGGCGGGAAATTTTGGCGCGAACACCAGCAGCCCAAGAAGAAAGCCAAAAAGAAAGGGGCGGCACAGTAAATTGCAGAACTGATAGATTGAAGGAGTAGCGCAAGATGAACCCAGACGACGCAACGACGGAAGACGCCGAGGAGAAGATCATCAACGAGGAGTACAAGATATGGAAGAAGAACACGCCCTTCCTGTACGACTTGGTGATGACCCATGCGCTGGAGTGGCCAAGCCTCACCTGCCAGTGGCTTCCCGACAAGACGACCCCGCCTGGGAAGGACTACTCGGTCCAAAAGCTCATCCTGGGCACCCACACGTCGGGCGAGGAGCAGAACTACCTCATGATCGCTGAGGTTAAGCTGCCACTCGAAGATACGGCGATCGAGGCGGGTAAATACGACGATTCGAAGGAGGTGGGCGGGTATGGCGCTGCCGACGGCAAGATCGAGGTCGTGATGAAGATCAATCACGACGGCGAAGTCAACAGGGCACGCTTCATGCCTCAAAATCACTCGATCATCGCGACCAAGACCATCTCTTCCGAAGTCTTCATCTTCGACTACACGAAGCATCCGGCCAAGCCCGCCGACGATGGCAAGTGCAATCCCGAGATCCGATTGATCGGCCACCAGAAGGAGGGCTACGGCCTGTCGTGGTCGCCGCTCAAGGAGGGCCATCTGCTGAGTGCCGCCGACGATGGGCGACTGTGCCTGTGGGACATCAGCGCCGTCAAGAAGACCAACACGACGCTCGACGCCATGGCCGTCTTCCAGGGCCACCACGAATCGGTCGTGGAGGACGTGGCGTGGCATCTTCACCACGATTCCTACTTCGGCTCGGTCGGCGACGACAAGAAGCTTCTCATCTGGGACACACGAGAGGGCAAGCCTCGACATGCCGTCCAGGCGCACACCGCCGAGGTCAACTGCCTCTCGTTCAATCCTCACAGCGAGTTCATCCTTGCCACCGGTTCGGCAGATTGCACTGTCGCGCTGTGGGATCTGCGAATGCTCAAGAACAAGATGCACTCTCTCGACAGCCACCGCGACGAGGTGTTGGCCGTCCAGTGGTCGCCCTTCAACGAAGCGGTACCTGCTCCTTCCCCACGCGCAGCTGCGCCCAGCTTCTTGAGTCGCGTTATCACACCCTTTCTAATACGGTGGTGGGGTCCTATCGAACAGGTCCTGGCCTCGTGCGGTGCCGACAGACGCCTGATGGTGTGGGACCAGTCTCGCATCGGCGACGAGCAGGCGGGCGAGGACGCCGAGGACGGCCCGCCCGAGCTGCTGTTCATCCACGGCGGCCACACGAACAAGATCTCCGACTTTGGGTGGAACGCCAACGAGCCGTGGATGCTGGCGTCCGTGGCCGAGGACAACATCCTGCAGGTGTGGCAGATGGCCGAGAACATCTACTCCGACGAAGCCGAGCCCGTCGCCGACTCTGAGCTGGAGTAAACCTCCTCTCTCTCTCTCTTTCAACTCATTCTTCTCTGTCTCTATCTCTCACTTCAACACTACATCACACCGGCTTACCTTCTTCCTTCTCGTCTCCTTCTTCCTTCTTCTTTCCTCAGATCCAAGGCATGATTGGAAGGCTGAGAATGTCAAACCATGTGCTGGCGCATCTCCCAAACAACTGTTCATCTGTTCTCTACCCCCATCCCGCCACGCCCTTTGCTTCCACTTCGCGTTTTTACTGGTGTGGTGCGGTCCGCGTGCCGCACGTTCCAAGGGCGCGTGCAACCACGTGGTTCCCATTGGGCAAGCGCATTGCAGGGCGTCAAACCCGTTTTTCTTTTTGTCGAACGCCACAGAGGGAACGAGCAGGATGCTGGACGAAGGGCACAGTGCGAAGGAGGTCGCCAAGGCCATTCAAGCAAAGCGCCTGGACCTCGCGCAAGGTGCACTGACCTGAAATAACATTGTTGTTATTACTATTTTAATTAATTTTAATCATTAAATTATTTAAAATAAGTAATTTCCCTCACCCCGCGCAAACCGACCAGCTCGAGCGCAGCTTCGTCGACATCTATCAGTGGGTGCTCACCCAACAGCCCATCCCCTCTCCCGGCCCGCTCACCGAGACCGCCGCTTCTTCGCCCGCCTGTTGGCCGAGCGGGCCGCCACCACCGACGCCACCACCGACCCCCTCGCCGCCGACACCACCGCCACCCCGGTCAGCGGCATATCGTGGCGCGTGCTGTCGTGCATCCGCCTCAGCACCGGGATGCCGCCTGATGCGTACATGTACGTTCATGGCTTGGTGGCCTCACTCGCGCTCGACTTCATGACGCCCGACCAGTTCGAGCGCACGCTGGAGCGCGACCCGGCGACGGCGGCCTACGTCGAGGGGTTCGCCCCGACCGACCCTGCGTCGATGCCGCGCGAGACGCGCGCTACGCGTTGAGCTTCCTGGCTAACTTGAACACCAGCCTCTACCGGCGCTCGAAGCGAGCCATGGAGCACCATGCTGTCGAGGCGGCGACCACGGCCACAACTGCGACCACCGACGAATAGGATACAGCTTGGTCGTGTCCACCACAACATCACCACTACGCGATAAGCTACAGTTTTGCTTGTATTTTTTATTTTTTCTGTTGCATCAACAAAGATGGAAGACGAAGCAAGAAGAGAGCAGGACAAGACTGGCCCGAGTAAGCCGAACCCACCTGCAGGGTACACTCGAGAGGGCACTACTCCAGCAGGAGGCCACCCAAAGTAAGTGCCCCTCTTCCGCAACCATTGAAAGATGCGTTGCATCATCTTTCACACAATGACTTTGGGTGCGAAAGGGAGGGCAAGGCAAAGCCGGCGATGCCACCAATCGACACCAGCGCCTGCGCGGCCTGTGGCATGGGCTAAACCGGCGGAGAGAGGACCTGCACGCCACCTGATGCACCACACCCGCACACGTGTTGCTGGCTCAACATGCAACACGCGCCCTTCGTGTGCAAGCGTTGGTGCTGGCTCAATGTTGTTGAGTGAACGTTTCCTGGTTGTGTGTACATTGCTCTCTCGACTGGCCCGGACTTCTTCATTCGTGTTAGTAACTGCCACGCTTGAGTCGCTGCTCCTCTTCCCAGCGTCGGATGCGCTCGTTTTGCTGTTCCCGTCGCTGGTCGAACCCTCTGTGTTCGTTCATCACGTCGTCACGTGGTTGATACAAGGTGGCGGTGGGGTGAGCAACAAGAAGGAAGAAGTGGCATCAAAGAGGGAGAAGAGATGAGAACGATGCGTACCTGCCAATGAGCCAAGCACCGTGGCCGAGGAAGAAGGCGATCATGGTGCCGAACGCCACGTCTCTAATCTTCGGGTACGGCCGCAGGGCAATGCGCACTGCCAACACAACGATGAATATAAATAATGGTCATTTTATTTTAAAGAGGAAAATAACAAAAAAAAAGATCAATCGACTCAAATTAAATTGAGCGATTTGTGACGTAAATGAACGGACAAGCACTTTAGAGTGTACCTAGGGGAAGGAGAGGTGCGCCGAGAAGGGGCGTCATGTACAACCAATTGATGCCGCCCTCTTCCGTTTGGGGCTGAGGGGCAATGTTCCTGTGTTCTTCTCCCTGTTGCGCCATCTCTTCTTTGATGTCTTCTCCTATGCAAAATCTCCGTATGCCGGATCGTGCCTCCTACGCTTGATTGTTTTGAAGATTGAGCGATGAAGCGTAAAAGTCGCGAACAAGCGTTTCGTTACGCGCCTAGGCCCTTATGGCGACTTTGACGTCTTCCTCAAGTCCGATGGACCGATACCTGGAAAATGGGTCCTGGTAGCGTTCCTCAACACCTCCACGACATCCACCCAACACTAAAGAAGAAGACCGAGGCCCCAGAGCAGAATGATAAAGATGAAGAAGAAAGAGCTGCAAGCCGGGACGTTGGTGAAGAATGGGCAGTAGTTTAATCGTATTAACGAAGAAGCCGTCGTACAGGGTGTGTTGACCGGGCGAGGCCTCCCGCTCGAGCGATACTTTATACAAGGTGCTCGTCGGGGGCTGATGATGCTCGTCGCCGGTCACGAAGAAGAGAAGGTCTAAAATGATAAGAACTAAAAAGAAGAAGAAAAAATGGAAAGAGGTATGAACAAAAAAAAGGAGGTCGAAGCGAAGAAGACGGCCGTGATGGTCATCAGATGTTGTCGTTGTTGTCGTCGTCGTCGTCTCCGGTCTCGCCCCCGTATGATGATGAAGGCTCTTGCAGCAGCTTAGGACCTGGGGCTGGTCGAGCGACAGGCCTGGATGTCCCAGATCTTCTTGGCGTACTTGTGGATGGTGCGATCGGAGGAGAAGGCGGCGGTGCCGGCGGTGGACATGATGGACATGCGGAGCCACCTCTTGCGGTCCTTCCAGGCCTCGTCGACCTCGGCCTGGGCGCGGAGGTAGTCCTGGAAGTCGTGGGAGAGGAGGTAGCGGTCGCGGCCGTCCTGGAGGGAGAAGATGAGGGGCTCGAAGGTCTTGGCGTCGCCGAAGATGCCGAGGCCGATCATGCGGAGCACCTCGGCGAAGCGCTTGTCCATCTTGAGCGAGCCGTCGCGCAGCTTGGCCTTGAGGCCGTCGATCTCCTCGGCGCGCGCGCCAAAGATGAACATGTTGTCCTCGCCGATGTGCTCGCGGATCTCGATGTTGGCGCCGTCGAGCGTGCCGATGATGAGGGCGCCGTTCATGGCGAACTTCATGTTGCCCGTGCCCGAGGCCTCGGTACCGGCCGTCGAGATCTGCTGCGAGAGGTCGGTGCCGGGGATGATGATCTCGGCCTGGCTCACGCTGTAGTTGGGGATGAAGACCACCTTGAGCAGGTCGCCGATCTCCGGGTCGTTGTTGACGACGTTGGCCACGTTGTTGGTGAGCTTGATGATGAGCTTGGCCATGAAGTAGCCCGGCGCGGCCTTGCCGGCGAACATCACCACGCGCGGCACCACCTGGCGCCGCTCCTCGGGCTCCATGCGCTTGATGGTGCGGTAGCGGTCGATCACGCACAGGATGTTGAGCAGCTGGCGCTTGTACTCGTGGATGCGCTTGATGTGCACGTCGTAGATGGCGTCGAGCGAGATCTCGATGCCCATCACCTTCTGGATGTGCTTCTGCAGCCGCATCTTGTTGATCCGCTTGACCTCGAGCCACTTGCGCTGGAACTCGGCATCATCGGCGAACGCGCGCAGCTTCTCCACCGGGCGCATGTCCAGGGTCTGTTTGTTGTTGCACACAAGCCAACCGATCGATTGTCAGACACCTGTGGGTGGTGTGTGTTGTGTGTGTGTGTGTGTGTGTGTGTGTGTGTGTGTGTGTGTGTGTGTGTTGTTGTCAAAAAACGTACCCAGCTGTCATCCTTGATGGTGTCGGTGATGAGACGGGTGAGCGAGGGGTTGGACTGCATGACCCAGCGGCGCGGGGTGACGCCGTTGGTCTTGTTCTGGAACTTGCCGGGCCACACGTCGTAGAAGTCGGGGAAGACCAGGGTCTTGACCAGCTCCGAGTGGATCGCGGCGACGCCGTTGACCGCGTGCGAGCCGACGATGGCGAGGTTGGCCATGCGCACCATCTTCTCGGGGCCCTCGCGGATGACCGACAGGCGGCTGATCTTGTCCATGTCGCCGCCGAAGCGGGCGTGGATCTTCTCGAGGAACTGGTAGTTGATGTCGTAGATGATCTGGAGGTGGCGCGGCAGCAGGCGCTCGACGAGCCACACGGGCCACTCCTCGAGGGCCTCGGGGAGCACGGTGTGGTTGGTGTAGCCAAAGGTGCGCTTGGAGATCTTCCAGGCCTGCTTCCACTCGAGGCCCTCCTCGTCGACCAGCAGGCGGATGAGCTCGGGGATGCCGAGGGTGGGGTGGGTGTCGTTGAGCTGGATGGCGACCTCGTCGGAGAACTGGCGGAAGTGGTCCACCTTCTGCTTCATCGACAGCTGCGCGTAGAGCTCGAGGTTCTTGCCAAAGTGGCGGCGCTTGAAGCGGTTGAGGATGTCCTGGAGCGTGGCCGAGACGAAGAGGAACTGCTGCTTGAGGCGCAGCTCCTTGCCGTTGTAGTGGTGGTCGTTCGGGTAGAGCACGGAGGTGATGGTCTCCGTGCGCACCTTGTTCTCGAACGCGCGGCCGTACTCGCCGGCGTTGAACGCCGCCAGGTCCATCTCGTGCGGGGTCTTGGCGCTCCACAGGCGGATCGAGAGCGTGTTGTTGGTGCGGTAGCCGGGCACCAGGTTGTCGTAGGCCTGCGCCATGACCACCTCGCCGCCGGTCCACTTGTACTTCTTGTAGCCCACCTGGATCACCTCGCCGTAGAAGCGCACCGGGTAGACGACGTCCTTGCGCTCCACCTCCCACGGGTAGCCGTTGCCGCCCGTGAGCCACGCGTCGGCCGTCTCCACCTGGTAGCCGTCGACCACCTTCTGCGTGAAGATGCCGTAGGTGTAGCGCAGGCCGTAGCCCCAGGCCGGGTAGTTGAGCGTCGCGAGCGAGTCCATGAAGCACGCGGCCAGGCGGCCCAGGCCGCCGTTGCCCAGGCCGGCGTCGCACTCCTCCTCGTAGAGGTCCTCCAGCTTGTAGCCCAGGCGCTTCATGGCCTGCGCGTACTCGGACAGGAGCTCGAGGTTGCTGATGGTGTTCTGCATCGAGCGGCCGATCAGGAACTCGAGCGACAGGTACGACGTCTCCTTGACGCCCTGCTCCTCAAAGTGCTTGTGCGTCGCGTGGAAGCGCTCGAGCAGCTTGTCGCGCAGGCTGTGGTTTTGGTTGGCGCCAACCGGGCGTGAGCCACAGCCCACAAAGGCGAGAAAAGAATGGGGAAAAGAAAAAGGAAAAGAAAACGTACACAAGGGTGAGCGCGCGGTAGACCACGGCATTGGAGATCTTCTCAGGGTTCTGAGGCGGAATGGCGATCGTGTTCTTGACGTGCCTCACGAAGTCAGCCAGAAGCTCCTCCTGTTGGGCTGTTGAAAGTGGAAAGAGGAAGAGAACGGGTGGGTTAGTTTTCCTTTGTTGCGAGTGCGGAGTTTACAAACATGCGTTGTTCTGCGGACCAATTGCACGCTTCCGATTCATGAAATTTGTGGCGTATTTCAATTTCGTTTCGGGTCCAAAACTCCTAACGGCCTCGTGGCTCGCGCGTTCCATTTCAAATAACATGTTCGGCGTAGAAAATTAAATGATAAAAAAGAAAAGTTGTTGATTATTATTACTGACGAGTCGGTGTCAGACTTCGTGTCTCGGCGGGGAGTGGGGGAGAAAGCGGAACAGACAAAGACAAATAAACAACAAAACAATAGTCTGCTTGCAACGCAAAAGTGATTATTGTAGTGATGAGGGGCGCTTGCGGGGAGGGGTTGCGGGGTAGAGATGATTGGAGAGGGGAGGGGCGTACCGACGTCGTCGGCGGTGGGTTCGGCCGCAGCGGCGGACTTGGTGCGGTTGGTGGGGGCGGTGAGAAGCTTCCAGATGTTCTGCTTCTGCTCGTCGAGGAGGACCTGGTCCTGCTGCTCGTCCTGGTACTTGTTGTGCTGCATCATCGAAGTCGCCATTTTTTTTTGGATGTGTTTGGTCGCGTAAAGTGACTTGGAGCCGGAGTAGAGACGAAGAAGAGATGGGGGATAGATGGGAGTGCGCGAAGATGAAAGATGAAGCTGGAGGAGAAGAAAAAAAGAAAAGAGATGTTCTACTTTTCTAGCTACTGGAGTTGAGTGTGTGGAGTATCTCTGAGCCTTCTGGCTGTGGCGCTTGTTGTGTGACGCTGGGAGGTTTAGTTGGTGTCTGGTAGGAGACGAGGTCCGGTTTTGTGGTCGGTCCTTGGGCGGAGAAAGAGACGGCAAAGGGCGGACTTACTAGAAATGATGCGGAAATTTCAGCAAAAATATCGAATTTCGCGGCCTGACCAGTCAGATGGGCGGCAACCGTGGAAATTCCTGGCGGTCGGTGGCGCACGGGAGTACGCCGTGGCTGGCGACTGGTCGCGTGGCCGACGCGGCGGAAGTGAACAGGGCGTGGGTGCGGGAGCGTGCGCTGGTTTCTGCGCCACCTTTCCCCCTTCTCGTTCTCCCTCCTGTAAGCAGAGAAGGCCATTTAGGCCCATTGGCGCTGGCCGCGAACACTCACGAGTGAGGCCTCCTGTAACGCCCACTACGAGACATGCGTGATCGGAGGGAAACCAACGAGCACAGCCAGTGGGAAAGCCTTTGCGCCTGGCGCGTCACAGGAGTTGTACCTCACCAAGCAAGTGCCAGAGAATGTAGATAAAGAGCAATAAAATCCACAAATTGTTTACGTGCCTTGTTGGCATGTGGCGGAGTATGAGTAGTATCCGCCCAATGACCAGTTGCGACAACCATGTTTGCAACTGATGATCTAAGATGATGGCCGTTGGAGGATGAGAATGCCCGGATTCCACTCATTCCTCCAATTTTTTGGCATAGCCGCCTTACCCAACAACAACCCCGGCCCAACCGAGAGAAACTTCCTCTGCTCTCTGCTGTTCACCTCGCCGTATCGGGGTCCTGTTGCGGGCAGCTCCGGGCGAGACGACGGGGCCATCACGTCCGCACCACTGCACCACAACAACGACAAGTGCTGCCCCTCGTTGGCTGGGAAGTGCGCACTTACGCAGGGCCAAGTGCCCCTTAGGAATTGAGAACAACACAGAAGTTGCGGGCACTGCACAAGAAGGAAGCAAGCAAGGAACAACGAACAACGAACGACGCACGAGCAACAGCAAAGGTCATACCCACCAAACGTTTTGCCTCCCTTCCCGGGTTGCTGGTGCTGCCACCAAAGCGCAAGTGAGTACGGAATAGCTGTTCTTACAGGATTAGAGGGTATGCCCAACCATCCTCTATCCTTAGCCTCGATTTACGGAGCATTCTGCTTCATCTTGCCAGCCATCCACAATCTTTCCACTTCTTTCCATTTATAAAATGCTCTTATCTGCAGGCACGCCCGTAGGACTACACACCACACCACAAAAGATGAACGACTACGGCGATAGAGAGCAGAGCATGCAGGAGCTGTTCGGCGGAAGGCCGGCCAATCCGCAGGTTCGCAACTTCGAAGATGACGACGAGGACGGTTGGGGGCTCAACATCAACGACCGCGGACGACATGGGGGCGACTACGACTACGATGGCGACATCGACGACGCCCTCCTCCTCCACCCCGCCAAGCGAAAGCGATGGTACGACCGCGTGTTAGACTTCCTCCGCGCCCACTGGCGACCTCAGGTGTTGGCCGTGCTGTTCATTCTGTTCCTCGCCGAGGCGGCACGAGGCATCGTGCTACCCACCATCTCGACCTACGTGGACAAGGCACGGCCCTCGACTCACCCTTTCTTCGCCTCCACATCCTTCCTGGTCCGCACGCACTCATTTTGTCACCGCACACGCACACGACACAACACACACACAACACTTCAGGTGGGCGGCGACAAGTCACAACTCGGGTTGGCCATCTCCCTCTTCTCCGTCGGCCGATTGGTGGGCGCTCCCGTGCTGGGTTGGTGGTACAGTGTGAACCACTTCTTGTGCGCCCATCGCACGTGCGTGTGTAAGGCCCTGCGACTGATCGCCACACCTCCTTCCTCCTTCCCCCAAAATGAAGGTACAACAAGCGAAGCGCCCTGGAGGTGCTGACCGTTGCGCTGCTGATCGGTGTGGCGGGCAACATCATGTTCTCCTTTGCCGCGGTGAGCGGAATCTACGTGCTCCTCATCTCGCGTGTCATCATCGGTTTCTCCACCGGTAAATGACCATCCATCCTCCCAGCGCCTGGTCTAGCCAGCATTTTTAACACACACACACACACACACACACACACACACACACACACAGGCACGCTGAGCGTGGCGCGGGCTCATATTGCGGCGCAGACGACCAAGGACGAGCGAACGCGCTTCATGGGCTACGCTGGTGCGGTGCAGTTCATCGGTTTCGGACTCATGCCCGGCGCCAACATTATGTTCTCCAATGTCGACGTGTACGCTCTTTGCTTCTGCGTTCCATCATTGTGTGTCGTGCACATGCGCGGTTCTTATTGATTTTTGCGAATTGCAGCAACATCGGGGAGATGCCGCTCAACTCGCTCACGGCGCCCGGCTTCGTGATAGCCGTGCTCAACATCATCGCTCTCGTGCTGGACTTTGCTCTCTTTTCCTCCTACTTTGCGCCCACGCCCGCTGACGATCGCGCCACTATCGTGGTGCCTCACAACGGCAACGGCAAGGGCAACGACAAGCACGAACAGGTACCTGTCGCAGCATGTGAGCTGTCTTTATCTGGAACCTTGATTGACCAATGTGCCCGTGTGTTCTGTGTGTGTGTGCCGCGTGCCGTGCGATTGCAACAGAACGCCCGGGGGAGAACAGAGAGCAAGCCACCGCACAAGCCTCACGAAGACGTTGAGGCCTTCTCAGCTGACGGCGAACCAGAAGAACATAGGTCGTGGTGGCACGGCAAATGGTCCCACGACACCAAGGTTCGTGTTTTGCCTTCGTGTCGTGTCGTGTCGTGTCGTGTCGATCTTAACTGATTGGTACTGTATGCATCATTTGGCGATTCGATCAGTTGATGGTGGTGGGCGCGATTGTTTATATCGTCCTCAATTTCGTTGCGCGAGGCGTTCTCTCCCTTCTCGAAACGCTGGGCACGCCAATTTTCCTCGAGTACGTGCCACCGTTCTTCTTCGCCAACAACACTTTTGAGCACTGCTCGCATCACTGACACACACACGCACACACGCACACACCCACCCACCAACAGGGTGTTTGATGGCACCGACACGACCGACGCTTCACATTTCTATCTCATTTTGGGCGTTTTGGGTCTGTCCGTCTACTTCGGGCTCGGGTTCGCGCGGAAGATCGCCAGCGAGATCGCTATGCTCATCTTCGGCTTCATGCTCATCGGCGCCGGCCTTATCACCCTCGCCATAGTCGAGCGAGAAAACCTCAACAAAATTCAGGTACGCCGGCGTGTGCGTGCATCGATATCTGATGTCTGCTTAGGCTCCGTGCGTTTGTGTTGTGTTGTGTGTGTGTGTGTTGTGTGTGTGTGTGTGTGTTCGTTCTACGTTGTGGACCATTACCAACACGTGCTTTTAATTCCTCAGTTCGTGGGCGGCTGCGCCCTTGTGCTCTCCTTCGGCTCGCCGATTGTACAGACCGTCATCCTCTCCTCTTTCTCCACCGTCCTCGGCTCGCAGCCGCAAGGTACATTCTCTCGCCAGCCCAGCCCGCTTTGCCTCACTGACCTCTTTGGCTTCAGGCACGCTGATGGGCCTCATCACCATGGCCGGCTCGGTCGGTCGCATCGTATTCCCTCTCTCGATCAGTGTGCTCGACGAGCAGGGTATGCCTACGTTCTCACCACGACACACACACACAACACGCTCTAACCGTGACGGCTTGGCTAGGTTCGTTCGTTGTGGGCGCAGTGCTCAGCGCGGTGTGCATCGGTGGCATCCTGTGCTACAGCACGTGGGTCCGGTGTCTGTCCCGGCCCTCCCACCGATTCGTGATCGGCTTCCCCGAGCCCATCCACTCCTGACCCTCGAGGCCCCCTCTCTCTTCTGGTTCTCTTTGTCCATATTTCTTCCGACATTTATGACTTCGCCAATCACGACCACTTTTGAGATTTGTCAACCCACTTTTCTTTGGCCGCACAACCAAGGAGGAAGCAGCAGAGTCGAGCAACTAGACTCCCAACAGCTCACATGACGTGCCTGGGCGTGGCGGGGGTGGCGGCCCTCCTCTTGATGCTGGTGGTCGGCGGAGCGTGGGCCAACGTCTTCCTGCACAACCCTCGTGGAAGTAACAACCGCCTCAACGAAGAGACCACAGACCGCGCCAATGCCAACCGCATGTTCGATAGCCAGGTACCACCTACGCTTGACGTACCCGTTACAATAATGTTCATCTTCACTGCTATTGTGCTTCTAATGGAAAAATGAAATCGTTCCACACACACACGAGCCAGAACACTGGCAGGGGTGGGTACGCCTGGGGTCCGAAGATGTACTACTACGCCGGCTCGCAGTTGGAGGTGGAGTGGACGAGCGAGCACGGCTGCGGTCCGGACAGCGAACAGCCCAACGTGCACTGCGACGTCGTCCTGCAGTACATGTGCGGCGACGAGGTGCGCGACGGGCTCACCACCGGTACGTGTGCAGGCTTGGTGATGAAGACGACCACGACGAGCGTTCGGCTTTGATATTGACGTCGGTGAAATTGGTCGCGCTCGTGCTTGCTTTGTGTGCGAATCGACGAATGCATAGACACAATTCCCGATGACCCCGCCGAGTACAACGCCAAGGGCGCCGACAAGCTGAACAACAACGGCAAGCTGGCCTATGTGTACGGCATGCACGAGCCCTACGCATACTACCAGGACTGCCATGTGCGCCAGCGCAACCGCGGCCTGTTCCTAGCGGACGTCGTGATGCCCGGCGGCCCCGGCGCCGATGCGCGCAACACCCGCCAGAACCCGGGCGGTGCGCGCTCGGGATTCGAGTGCCCCGAGGAGCGGGACTACTACCCCTACTGGCACCCGGCCCCGTGGCGCGACATCGCCGTGCTCACATCGAACGTGTCGCGCTGCGACTACTACCGGGCCAACTCCCAGAACGTGGTCGGGCGCGGCTATTGCTACGCTTGGCCGGCGGCCAACAACGCGCGGGACTGCGCGGCCCTCGGGGGTAAGTGGGTGACGGCGCCACCGAACGGGGGCGGCCCGGTGGACTGCCGCGCGGCACCGTACGCGCGCGACAATGGGCTCGGGTGGGTGTCGGCCTACAACTGGACCATCCCCCACGACGCACTTCACGAAAGCTGCGTGCTGCGCCTGCGGTACAACATCTCCGTGGGCGACTACGACGGGTGGAACACGTACAGCGACCAAAACGAGTGGAATCCGTTCGGCAACAAGTGTCCCATCACGCGCGACCCCACCGGTGAGTACTCACTCGCACACGCACCACCGCACATGCACGCCTGCGCAAATAGCTGACACTTTCGTGTGTGCAGTGCAATTCGACACGGAGGACACGCCGGTGATCAGCGCCCGGAACCTCACGCTCGCGCTAGACACCCGCCAGACCGGTAGGACATTCCAGGACAGGAGTTACACCTTCGCGATCCGGCCACGCCCCGCACACGTTGGACCCAACGACAGAATCGTCAACCTGAACGTCAAGTACGCGTAATCGAGATGAGTTGCGCGTGTGCGATAGTGTGCGTGTTGTCTCATTTTGGCTGGACCTGGACTATGTGCCACACAGGGGCAAGCGCGGTACCTTGACGCAAGTCTTTCCGGCCGTGATGTACGACTTTGTGCCGAACTCGCTCTACATGCGGCCCGGCGACTACCTGCACCTCCAGTGGACCGGCAGCACCTTCAACCCGGCCAACAACGAGGGCGAGGGCACCTACGGCACGGACATCACCAACCTGGTCCAGGTTGCGGACCTGTACCACAACGTCCCTCTCAACTTCTCCGACCCGCGGCACTTCTTCGGGGAGAAGGCCCGACTGGCTCTGGCCCACCTGAACCAGAAGGGCTGCGACACGCTGGCACAACTCCTGGCCCGACACGGCCCAGACCAGGAGGCCATCAACCGCGACCCGCGCAACTGTGCCAAGCTCAACATGGCCAGCACCTACCAGGACCAGGGGCTGCACCAAGTCCACAGCTCGCTTCAGGGTAAAGTTCAGCTTCGCTGCTGATGCAGGCATGTACAAGTGATTGAGCCTGCCTAACTGTGCTGTGTTGTAGGTCTCTATATGTTCATCAGCACGAGGAACAACAACTTCAGCAAGAGAAGCCAGAAGCTGAAGATCACAGTACTGCCCGACCAAGAATGAAAAAGCCTTACACGCTACACCAGCCCAACCGCTTCTCTCTTTTGACTAACAAAAATCAATATATAAAAAATAAATATAAAATAGAATAAAGAATGCGCAAATGGCATCTAACAGCTGCAGCGTGCCGCCCAACCACTACATCCATGTGGAGGATCGCAACACCATGATTACCCGACTCGAAGTGGGGCCCCTCACCTTCACCCCCAAGGTGGGCCACAACCCACACCACGGCTGTTGTTTTTATTTTGCCTCTTCTTACACTCGTGGGGGGGGGACGCACAGGTGCAGGAGGACGTGGTGCTGGGTCCCACGCCGATGGTGTTGGTGCCGCGCGACCACCACTGCGTAGTGCGCAACCCTGCCCTGCGGGACGACACAGGCGCCGTGGTGCTGCACTCCCCCCAAGCTCACACGAGACTGCTGCGTGGCCAGGTCTACTACTCCTTGAGTTGTTCTAGTGCTCACCAAGTGGCGGCCGTAGGTGGTGGACAAGCACGGGATGGTGCGCCTGAAGCACGGCGATCGAGAGCTGCGCTTCTTCACGGGCGAGCCCTTCCCTCTCTACCCCGGCGAGGAGCTTGAGTGACTCTCACTCGTACGCAGTGTGCGCTCGTCGTCATCGTCATCATCATGTGATGAAAGTGACGAAGGTGGTCGTTTCTTGTTATGGTGTCCAAGCACATGAATGTGTTCTCCCGCGTGTGGCGTCATGGCGGTGCCCACTCAACGGTAGAAGTCGATGAGCGTGAGGAGGCCGCCCTTGGCGAAGAGTTGCAGCGCGGTGTCGCTGAACGAGAGCACGAGGCCGCCCTGCTCGAAGGCGAAGCGCGAGAGGACGTCGGGTCTCTCCTTCAGCTGCACCGTCTCGCCCGAGTCCTGCGTGAACATGGCGCCTGACAAAGGGACAACTGGTGAGCAGAAGAAGGAGAAGGAGAAGAAGAAGGAGAGAAGGAGAAGACACCTTCGAGAGAAGCCTGGGTCCAGGGGCGCACGATGATGGTGCGCTGGGCGTTGATGACTTCATCGTGGTTGGTGAAGCGCAGCTTGAGTATGCCTCCGTGCTGGGCCTCGACCACAACTGCACCAAGACCCGAGTCCACAGTGGCCTCGCCCGTGGCCGCGCCCTCCACCTGCACACGCGCTCCACAGCTCATCTTTCTCTTTCTTCTGCTCTTTCTCTTTTTGGTGATTTGTTTGCAGCATTTTGCTTTTGAGTTTCGGTTTTGCAAATAGTTTCATTTCATTTTATTTTGGTGTCCGGGCCTCTTGGGGCGGTCAGTGCGATCGTAAGAGAATGTTGTTTTATACAATTGTGAAGGTACCGCACACGTGCTACGATGGTGTGGTTGGCATCATAAAATAAAATCAGTAGTGGTAGTAGTGTACGCGGGAGGACCTGAGCTCTCAAGGCTCGGCCAACTCGGCGGTGGGCGCCACAGGGACCTCGTCAGCAGACGCCGCGGTCTGCTGCTGCTCCGGTAGCGGCGCAGCGGCCGTGCTCAGCGACAGCTTGCCTCCGCCCAAGGGCTGCGGCGTTCTTGTCCGCACCTTGGCTCGCCCACGCGCTGCTGCAAACCGGTGTCAGCGATGCACAGCACGACACTCACCATCGCACACGCACACATCACGCTCCGCACGCAGCAGATTACTGTCACGTACCGGCCACGACTGGCTTGGCGATTGTCGCTGGCGGCGAGCTCGTCTTGACGACAGCCGCGCCTGTCGGGGTCATGGCACCGTCGGCCACCTCCGTCGACATCACCGACCGCGTAGGTGGCACAAAGACGGCGGCGAGCGACGGCGGCGGCGCGTCAGAGGTGTTGCGTCGCGCCCGCGCCGGGCTGTTCTCCGGCAACAACGCTCCAGCAGCAGCAGCAGCAGCATTAACAGAGGTGGTGGTGGTCGAGGCGCTACTCATCATGGCGGCGTCGAAGTGTGTCGCTTGCGGGGGCGAGTTGAAGGTAGCCGACCTCGCCGGCACCCCGTCCTTGTTCTTTCGCGAGAGAATGATCGGCGCGCCCTCCTTGAACTTGCGCGTCGTGCCCCCCGACGCAGCGCCCTGCGGCGATGTCGACAGAGGCGAATGCGACGTCGGCGATGACGACGGCGAGGTGGTGGCGGGTGAATGCAGCGGCGACAGCGGGGCCGAGTGCGACGACGGCCCGCCGGTGCTCGGGTGGACCCACGAGGGGATGGCCGGGTGCGACGAGCTCTTGGCCGTCCCACTGCTGGCCGAGTGGCCGATGGTCTTGGCCAGGGCCGCGAACGAGTGCGCCGGAGTGGTGGTCGGCTTGGAGTGAACGTTGACGTTGGCCTTGGGCGGCTGCACGGAAGGCAAATTCTTGAGCGAGACCGAGGTCGGCGCGGCCGGCTTGACCACCGCCGGCGAGGGAAGCGCCGCAAACGACTGCGATATGAAGTTGGCGTGGCCGCCGGTCCTCGCCTGCGGCACGGGCGACGGCATCGGTGACGATGGCGCCGCCGAGGCCCCGAAGAGCATCTTTCTTCGCTCCTGCACCAGGCTCGAGGTCGAGGGCGCGCCGCCCGACGTCGATGCCGACAGCGGCGGGCCGCTGCTAGTCGAGCTTGCACCGGCGAGCGTGGCCGCCGCCGCCGAAAAGCTTTGGCTGAGCGCAGCCACCTTGCTGTTCCCCGGTGTGGGCGTAGGCGAGCCGGGGGTTGTAGAGCCCGCAGCCGGCGGGTTCGACGCCTGCGCCACGCGCATCACCAGTGGGCTGGGCTTCGTCGCCGGGGGCAGCGAGTCGGGCATGGCTGGCGTGGCGGCCGGGGCCGAAATTTTGAGCGGAGCGGTTGGCGACGAGGCTGCGCCGACGCTGGGCTGCAGGGCTGGAGCGGCGGCCGCTGTTGGAAGGCGGGGCGAGGTGGCAGGCGATGGGGTGGTCGATGTCGATGGCGTGGCGGCCGGCGAGGTGGTCACCGACGACGACCGCGAGACGGAGGCCGAAGACGCCGGCGACAGCGGCACAGCCGGCGACGACGGCGAGTAGGCCAAGGGCTCCAAGGCTGGCAGAGTGGGCGCCGAGGCCGAGGTGATGGTGGACGACGCGCCGTCGAGCAGGCCGGGCGCCGGGGGGAATGAGGCAAGCGACGGCGACGCGGAGACGGTCTTGCGCGGCTGGTGCTGGGCGAGCGGCGCGGCGATCAGCGAAGGCAGGTCGCTCAGCGACGACGAGGGCGAGGCCGCGGGCGACGACAGCGGCGACGAGTACGAGTCGGTCGAGTACAGGATACCCGGCGGGTCCGGTGCCTGCGACGACTGCGACTGCGGCGGCGATGGGGCGGGCGACGAGAGGAGTACATGAGGCGACATGGCTGACTCTTCGCTGTCGCTGCGGATGATAACGGCCTGCGCGGTCATGGGCGAGGCGTCGATGACGATGGGCGACAGCACAGGGGCCACCTCACGCAGCTCGGCCCATACCTCGTCGAGCGGCGGCTCGCAGCCGGCAGTGGGCGGCAGCGGCGCCGTGCCAAAGATGAGCGACGGCGGAGGAGAGGAGAGCGGCGACGAGAATTGCGCGTGGAGCGGCGGAGGTGACCTCGGCATGCGCAGGCCGTCGTCGTCTTCATCGTCAGCAAGTTCGCGCTTTTTTCCACCACAGTTAGTTACGCTTCTATCAGGGCACGCAACACGACACGGAGACAGACTCAGCGTACCTGAGGAGTGGGAGGAGTGCAAAGGTTGACGAAGATGCGGGGGAAGAGGCCGCACTGGCCGTCCAGTCGCCCCATCCACCAATCGCTCTTCTTCTGGTCCAGCACCTCAATAATATCCCTGTTTCGTAAAAAATAAAGAGTTTAAAACTCTTTCTAAAGTTCCATTGTAATGTTCGCTTGCAACGCGTAGGGGGGGGGGCGACATACCCTTCATTGAAGCTGAGCTCGGAGGGTTGCTGGGCCTTGAAGTTGTAGGTGGCGACGCACAAGACGATCTCGTCGCCCGCCCCCGCCGGCAACGTCGCGGTGCGGGTCGTCGAAGTGGTGGCTGACGGCCGGTCCGCCTCGGGGGGCGGCTTGGGTGGCGCCACCCGCCGCTGGAGGGGCGTCGACTGGTGTCGCTGGAGGTGGGTCGGAAGCGGCGGGAGCGGCGGAGGACTGAGCGTGGAATCGTGGACCACAGCCGATGTCGATGCTGCTAAAGATGACGATGATGACGCTGCTGGTAATGAAGGTGAGGGCAGGGGCGGCGGTGAAAGTAGCGGGGGCGGTCGGGGCAGGAGCACGCAGCCAGAGCTGGGGGGCGCAGTCGCTCGCCGTTCGACCCCCTCGCTACCGACCGTCACCAGTGATTGGGGGAGGGGTGCCTTGCGCAGGGCGTCAGGGTCGATCAGCTCCCAGCGCTCGCGGTGGCTGCCCGGCAGGGAGTCCTTGCGCCGCTCGCCCTTGCGGCCGATGATGGTGAACATGCGCTTGACCCGCCCCGTGGGGAGCTGGGCCGCCGGGTCGACGACGGGCCGCGCGCCCAGCATCGAGGCGCGCTCCTGCGGGTCCTTGATGACGTCGGCCATGTCGCGGAAGCTGTCGTAGTCGGGATGCGAGATGACGACGTCGGTGTCGCCCCGGCTCTTCCTTCGCTCCTTCTTCTCCTTGGCTGCCTTCTTCTTCTTGTTCAGTTTGTTCTTCTTCTTACTGGCGGCCTCATCGTCTGGTTGAAGAAGGGGGTCCGGTTGGTCGGTGATGGTGATCTCTTCTCCTCGCCCCATCATCCCAGCGTGTCCATCAATTACATTCATCATCGTCGTCGCTCACTCTCTTCTCGATCTCCTTCTTCTTCCTGCTCCAGGCCTGCACAAAACAAGCTGGCCGAGGAGCTCAACAAATATAACACATGTACACACAGCCACACACTCAAACGCCTCTCGACACTCACGCAATAGACACCAAGCGGCCGCCCTTTCTCTTCCTAGGAAGGTTGCGGGTGTTTAGAGGTCCTTCCGTGTTGTTGGCCGTGTCGACCTGACACAGCTCGTCGAAGGACCTGCCGAAGGTGGGGGTGTGACCTTAATTAGGTTTCATTCCTATTAAGGGGACCACGCCCGAGCTTGCTAAGGAGTGGGCCGTAGTGCCTTTACCCGTTTCGTTCCTTGTCAACTTTTTTTTCGGAGAACGTGTCACGTAATTGCACATTGTTATTTATTTAATTATTATTTATTTATTTAATTATTAGTATTCCCCGAGGTCGAATGAAGAGATAATGCCATTTACATGAAAGAAGAGAAAGTAATGTACAGAGAAAAGGAAAGGTAAGTGTAGGGCAAGGGAGGGTGGGGTTGTAGCTTGATCAACGGTGCGGCCGCGTTCAGTCTTCGTTGAAACTGTCTTTTCGGCCGAAGAGGGACGAGGTGTCGATGGTGAGGAACTGCAGGAACGAGGGATGCGCTCGCACCATCTGCTCGTACTCCTCAAACGATATCCGCCCATCGCCTGCACGCGACAACAAGAAAGAATGTGCGTGTGTGATGGTGGCGCGTGTTAGTCGCACCACGCTGTGTGCGCCGCGGCACTGTGGGGGCGTCGGTGTGATGGTTGAACCGTTGGAGTCCACTTGTGCAAAGGTGTCGTCGACCAGCGTGCCGATTTGCTCGTCGGTGAGGTCCAGCATGTTCTCGGAGAGCGCGGCCTTGAGCAGCTGATGCAGCTCGTTCCTGTGTGGCCCGGTAAAAGCAAGCTAGCGCTGAGCGAAGGAGCAGATGAGACCTCAAGCACAGTACTCGAATCGTGCACGTACCGATCGATGTTGCCATCGCCGTCGATGTCGTAGATACGAAACGAGTCTGTCGATACAATCACAATCAATGCATTGAGGGAGAGCGTAATCAGCTTTGGCTGTTGCTGTGCGCGCGGGCGCAGTGGTACATTTGATCTTCTCGTCGGTCGTCCCACGCTCACAGAACACCGATATGCCCAGACAGAACTCCCTGTTGTGCCGTAGTGGCGTGTGTGAGTGGCGTGTCGGTGGTGTTGGACGGGACTGGCCGCTGGCCACAACCCACGAACCACAACAACAACAGCAGCAGCAGCAAGAAGAGCACCTGAAGTCTATCTCGTTGTTGCCGTCCGAATCAAAGATGGTGAAGAACCGTTTCGTAAAGACCCGGTCATGGCGGCCCAGTGCTACAAACACGAGGGCGAGAATGAAAGAGTGAGTGTACCACCAACACAACAGTTGGTCTGGCCACCAGGGCAGTGGCGGGACGGTACCAGCCTGGAACTCGTTGAATTCAATCGTGTCGTCCTTTTGTATGGACGCTGACACGGCCCGGAAGCGCTCGAACAGCACCCGCACCTCTGCTTCGTTGACTGTCCAGGGTGGCGTTACTTGCACAACCATTACAGGGCCTTTTCTAAAACAAAACAACAAACAAAGATAGGAACCGTACAGTGGGTGTGCCGCGTGAGATAGGCCAAGTCTTGTGGCGGCAGCGTGGGCTTCGACTCGAGCATTCCCATCTTGACCGATTTGGCTTCAGATTTTTGTATTAATCTGTTGAAATTGAGCCTCTTCTCTGATTCAAGGCCGCTTGTTCGTGCAGATGATTGTTTCCAAAGGAATGAGCCTATACTATGAGGTACTTGCAATGGCGGTAGTATAACCAACAAGCTGGTTGGTCAAGTGTTGCTTTTTTTCCGCTTCGTTCTTGTGCTGCACTTTTCCCTGAGAAAAGCAAAAGGAAAAGAAATTCAGACCATAATTCAACTCAACCGCAGAAAACAACACCAGCAAACAACACCAACACCAAGACAAGATCTCAAGATGATTGTTCTGTTCGATGGAGTATGCGTTATGTGCAATTGGTGCGTGCACTTTGTCATCGATCGCGATCCTGAAGGTGCAAAATCTATCGGTTTCTGTTTGCATTCATCTTTCTATGTGGCGTTGGGCCTAAGATGAAGTCACGCTACAGAGAAGATCCAGTTCGCGTCTCTGCAGTCGCAGTATGCACGTGAGGTGATGGAGAAGTTTCACGTGCCGCCTGACCTGGATAGCGTCATCGTCATCGAGGACGAGCACCTCTACACCCACTCCTCAGGTACATACTCAACTCCACGTGCTACATTGTTTTTGTCCACACGAACCCGAGAAGGCTGATCGTTCGTATGACGATGACGATGACGATGACGACGATGGTGCCCGGTGCAGCGGCGCTGAAGGTGATGTCGCAGCTCACGATGCCGTGGCCGCTGTTCTATTTCTTCTTCTACTTCCTGGTGCCCTCTTTCATCCGGGACTTCTTCTACCGCATCGTGGCTAGCAATCGGTGCCCAGCTCCACCACTCTTTGCTTCTCTCGTTGTTGTGTGGAATCGACTCACGCACACGACACGCACACACACGCACACACGCACACACGCACACACGCACACACGCACACAGGTACTCATGGTTCGGGAAGATGGACGCGTGCAGACGGCCCACGCCACAGCTTCGAGCCCGCTTCCTCGACGCCGACGATCTGTTCAAACCAAAACCGGCACGAGACGACCACGAGCAACCCTCGCCGCCGCTGCAAAGCCAGTCGTGAGGACCTCGCACCCTGCGCACGTCCCAAGGGTCCATCGTCGGTTCACCTTGTTCGGCTTTTATTGTAATTCTCTGATTTATCGGGATTTATTTGTATTTGTCTAAAATGGTTGCATAAAAAGATTCAATTATATATAAATATATCTTGAAAAGAGACAGAAACGACATCTTGTTTTGGTGAAAGAAGAAGACGGCTGAGCTCCCATCAAGCACACATCAGCATCAAAAGAAAAACAGTGGCAGTGCGAGAAGATGGCTGATATGAACAATCCAGTGGAGGCGGGCATAGAGATGGCACGCCGCGCTATCGAATTCGACAGCGCCCACGCCTACCCCGAGGCACTGCAATACTACCGACGCGCCACAGCCCTCTTGAACCAGGCCCTGCAGAGTACCGCCTCCATTTCTCTCTGTGATGCCTCGCGATTGCTACGAGGCGTAGTTTTTTCCCCCATCGATTACGCGTAGATCAACATTTTTGTTGACTTTATATTCGTACAATAGGCTCTATTTCTTATTATCTATAAATATTATATTTTATCCATAAATATTATTAATATTCATTGTTGTAACAACAGCCGAGAGGAACGAGCAGATGCGATCGACGCTGTCGGCCAAGCTTCACGAGTACTCTGCGCGCGTGTCCTACATCGAAGCCAACCTGCCTCGCGGCCCCACGTCGCCACAGCAGTCTCACCCCGCACTCAACCAGCAGCAACAGCAGCAAATTGGCGGCGGCGGCGGCGGCGGTCTCACGTTCCCGCCGATCCCGGGCGAAGACCCCTTCACCGTTCTCTCGGGCGGGTCACCCTCTGCCGGTCGGCCGGCCGCGCCTTCTTCTTCTTCTTCTTCTGCTTCGTTCGGTTCTCCGCATCAGCCACACCATCAGCAGCAGCAGCAGTACCAGCAGCCGCAGCAACAACAACAGTACCAGCCACAGCAATACCAACCACAGTACCAGCAGCAGCCGCAGTTCCAGCAGACGCCGGCGCCCGGCAGCGGCGGCTTTTCGGCGGCGCCCTACGGCGCACCTCCCTCGACCAAGCTGCCCGCGCACCAACTCATCAAGATGCCCGCGCAGGTCTACATTGGCGAGTACGTCTTAATAAGCACGACACGACACACACGGCACACGCACAGCACACGCACGACACGACACACACAGCACATCTCACGTGCGTGCAAACACCGCTGGACTGTACAGAAAGGCGGAGCTGCAGAAAGCGCTGGACTTTAGCGAGGTGGCGAAGAAGGCCGACAAGAGCGAATGCTATCGCGCGTCTCTCTCCTACTACGAGGCCGCCCTCGAGGCCTACCTCTCCGTCCTCAAGAGCACGCCCACCCCACCCCATCCGCATCGCCACCTTAACCCTCACCGCCACCGCCACCGCCACCTCAAGGCTATCCGCCACCGCAACCGTCACCTTAAAGCTAACGCTGACGTCATCTCGGTTCTGCGTGGTTGTGGCGAATGCAGAGGAGAGCAATCCACAGATCAAGACGTCGCTGCGCGAGACCATCGCCGTGTACATGGAGCGGGCGGAGAAGATCAAGGAGTTCCTCCTCAAGTCGCCCGACTACCAGGACCCGTCGCCCATTCCTCCTCCCTCCTCCTCCACCTCGTCGTCGTCATCGTCGTCGTCGGTCACGTCGTCGTCGTTCGCCCCGGTGTCCGGCGGCATGCCGCCCTACAGCCAGCCCCAGTTCGCGCCGGCGCCTGGCGGCATGCAGCCCTACGGAGGCGGTGGCGGCGGTTATCCGCAGCAGCAGCAGCAGCCAGCGGGGTCGCCGTGGGACATGTACGGAATGCAGGGAATGCAAGGAATGCCGGCACAGCACCAGCAGGTGCAGCAACTACAGCAGCAGCAGCAGCAGCAGCAGTATAGATCGCCCGGGTCGCCGACGTCGTTCGAGGATGACCGATTCCGACAGCAGCAGCAGCCGATCGTCACGCTCACCGACTCGTTCGACGACGAATTCGCCTTTGTCGATCCCTTCAACCCCAAGACCAGTACGCCCGCATTCTCGGTGTGTGCTCTGATGCTTACCTCGTCCCACGACGCACGCACGACACACACCGCACACGCACGCACCACCGCACACGACACGCGCACGCCAGACCGCTTGGAACGGGCTGACACGGCGTCGAGTCTTCTGGAGAAGCCCGTGATCCTCAAGGTCAAGCTGGAGAACTCGGTGATCTACCCGGGCCAGGAGGTCCCGTTGCTCGTGGACCTCGACAACTGCTCCAACCGAGTCGTCAAGTTCATCAAGGTGTCCCTCATCATGGTACGCCACAACACGCACACACCACAACATGACACACGCACCACCGCACACGCACACGGCGCGACACGCACACAACACGACACACGCACCACCGCACACGCGGACTAAGTGAAGGACTTGTACTGTTTTGGGACACACAGCGCGACACGACGTATGAGGGAGGCCGACGTTCGGGCAAGCGGCACTCAGTGAAGACCAAGGTCCACCAGGACGAGTTCTACCAGGGCTCCCGCTTTCCCCTCTCTCCCTACTCCAAGTATGAGGGCCGGCTAGTCTTCAAGATCCCCGAGAGCATCAAGCCCAGCGAGGTACGCCTCTTCTCTTCCTTTCCATTCCTTTATTGTCTGTCTTTCTGACACGTGGTGCGTGTGCGGTTGTGCGGTGTGTGCGTGTGCGGTTGTGTAGACGAGTTTGACGGGGGCCTATTGTCGTGAGTACGAGATTGTGGTGAAGGGCGTCGTGCAGCTCCACACCAACCCGAGGGTCCACCTTCCCATCACCGTCAACACCTAACCCCCCCAATCTCTTGTGCACAAAGCTGTCTTTATTCAAATTAAACAATCTCACCATACAATGCGTGCTTGAGCTCACAACGCAACCAAACAGAAGTTGAACAAGAGCACTCTTTAAAAACCAAAAATGTAGTAATAATGTTACATGAGGCCAGAAAGGGGAAGGGTAAGGTGGGTTTAGAAGGTGGCCTGCACGGTCTGGGTGGCGCCTCCATTGACCTGGAACTTGAGGGTGGTGGAGCATGGCTGGCCATTGCCAGACGCGAAGGTCCAGACATACTGCTCCCAGCCAGCCACCATGTTCTGCCAACTGTGTGCGGCAACCACACACACACACACACATTTAGCACATCACGCAGACAAGACATGCACACCCAAGGCGTACCCTTGGCCGTTGCCGCAGTCAATGCGCACAGAGGAGCTGCCGGGGATGGTGACTGCCATCCACCAGACCGACGAGCCGCAGCAGAAGCTGAACTGGTTCGAGCCGCCAGAGGGCTTGGGCGACGGCGAGGCCGACGCGGCGGGCGCCTTGGGCGACGGTGAGGCCGACACGCCGGCCTTGGGCGATGCTGACGCCGAGACTGCGGCCTTGGGCGAAGCGGAGGCCGACACGGCGGGTGCGGAGCCGCCGGACACGCACACCTGGCCGTTGGCGTTGGTGGTGAACTTCGTCGGCGCCGGGACCACCTTGGCCAGCAGCGTGAGCTTGCTCTGCTCGGGCGTCGTCCAGTCGTTCTGTTGTGGTATGCCACACCGCACACACCGCACAACACAACACAACACGCGATCAATGACACGACACGACGACACGCGAGGGCGAAGTGCGATAGTACCTGGAGCAGGCCGCCGGTGTCGCCCGAGTTGGGGTTGAGGCACCAGAAGAACTGGTCCGTCATGCGCTTGGACAGGAGGTAGTTGCCCATGGCCTCGAGCCACACCTGGTTCGAGCCCGTGTAGTGTCCGCCCCACTCACCGATCACCACCGCCGACCCTGCCGCACCATTCGCCACTGTCAGCGCGCGCGTGCGGTGCGTGCGGCCTGCGTGTGCGGTGCGCGTGTGCGGAGGTGAGGCGGCACCGGTGGTGGAGGGGATGAAGCCGAAGTGGGTGTCCCAGATGGCGGGCATGTTGGCGGGGAAGTTGCCCACAGAGAAGTAGGGCTGGCCGTAGACCGACGGACCGTAGACGTGCGGGCTGTACACCAGCTTCGACGGATTGCGCAGCTGCACCGGGTGAGTCCTCACACCCTGCACCCATCAACCCCTTCTTAGCACACGCGTGTGCGGTCGTACGTGTGCGTGTGTGGTGTTGTCTGAGGAGTACGATGAGGTTCTCGCCCCAGAAGCAGGCGTCGGTACAGGCGGGGCTGGAGGCGACGCCCTCGACGAAGATAAGGAAGCGGCTGCTCACGCTCGCGGCGATGGCGTCCGCGATCCTCGCCACGGCCAGGTTCCAATCCGTGCCCGTGTTGCCCGTGCCCCACGTCGCTGCGTACGGCTCGTTCTGTGTATGCGTGTGGTGTGTGCGGTGGCGCGTGTGCGATTGTCAGTTCGGTCGACGTTAAGCTCTGGAAGTGACGTCGAGCGCTCACCTTGATGTCAGCCGCGAACACGTTCCACTGGTCCTTGTAGCGCTGCAGCAGCTTGGTCCAGCCGGAGATGACCTTCGACTCGGGATTGGCGCCGTTGTACCACGTGTTGTCCTGAATGTTCGTGTCCGGCTGCACACGCCACCGCACACACGCACCACCGCACACACCACCGCACGCACGGCTCGTTAGACGGGTCTCGATCGCGATGGTGGTGGTGTTGGGTGTTGAGTCCTCCTACCAAGAACGAGTGGAGGTCGAACATGATGAGGAGGCCGCGCGCGGCGGCGGCCTGGACCACCTTGTCCATGACCTGCATCGAGGACAGGCCCTGCAGGTCGGGGTTGGCGCCGTAGTTGATGCTGCTCGGCTGCGCGTCATTGAGCACCAAGTCCAGATAGAACGGAATCTGCGTGCCGTGTGCGCGTGTGCGGTGTGTGCGGTGCGAGTTAGTGCGCGTGTGCGGTGCGGTGTGTGCGCGTGCGATTGCAGGGGTAGAAGGGATGGATCGAGTACGCGGATGGCGTTGAAGTTGTTGGTGGCGAGGAAGTCGAGGAGGTTCAGGTAGGACCTGCTCGTCCACAGTCCGTGCACCACCTTGTTCCCCGTCTCGAATCCGAACCTAGCAACCACCACCGCGCGTTGACCCATGGCTCATCCATCAGTGTCACTGCCGTCAACCTTTCATCTCCATCTTTCATCTTTCATCTGATCCGCTGGCTCGGTGGTATCCAGGCTGCAGCAAAGATGTATTGAGAAGAAAAAGAAAAGGGAGGGGGGTACCAGGAGGTGCCCTTGAGCTTGAAGGGCTGGCCGTTGAGCCAGAGGGCACCCTGGGCGCTGGTGAAGTTGAGGGCCGACGGGGCGTAGCAGGTGGCGGACTGAGCGGTCGAAGTCTGGCTCATCAAGGCAGCGACTACGACCAATACCAGGCCCAGCAACTGAAGCGGAACCATTGCGCGAGCTGAATGGTTCGCTGTCGCCATCTTCTTCACAACAACACCTGCGCCACTGCATCGTGCCTCGGCCAATTGCACGAGCGAAAATAAACGGCACCCAATCATGAGCGCCTGCACCTTAAGGCACTGCTTACAGAGAAAAAGAAAATGTAATTATTTTCTTTAGTGATTTCTGTTCTGTGGAGGATGGGCTGCAGCTTCAAGCGCGTGGCCCTGGCCTTGGTGCTCTTCCACCAGCTGCTCCTCTTCCTCTACTTCATGGGTGTACTGGACCTGAACTCCGACCAACCGGCGCCACAGCCACTCAGCACTCCCACTACTCCAGGTAAATTTATTTATCTTTTTATTCGTATAGAATAATAGAATATATTATTATTATTTTCTCGAGCCAATTATTTTTTATTTAGTGATGGCAGGCCTAAGCAGATCAAAGGGCATGACCGAACGACGGCCGGTCGTGTGCCACCCGGAGGTGTGCGAGGGCATGTGCGATGAGGCGTGCGGGCAGACGCCCAAGATCACGCGCGAGTGCCGTGGCGACGAGTGCCGCGCCGAGCACCCGCAACTCATCCACAAGGTAATTGAGATTGCTACCTGTGCGTGTGTGTGCGGTTTGTGCGTGTGTGTGCGGTGTGTGCGGTGTGTGCGGTGTTGCGTGTGACTGAGTCGTGTGCGGACACAGGTCGAGCTTTCGTACCCGGCCTTTACGATGAGGATGCCGTCATTTGTGGACCCCGAGCTCGAAGCCCTCTTCCTCAGCGTCGGCGCTGTGAAGAACACCTACATGGTGCCTCCCACCCACCACCAATTTGTCATTCCGCACGCGTGTCGTGTGCCGTATCGTGCGTGCGGTGCGTGTCGTGCGATCTCAACTTCTTCCTTTATTAAGGTCGAGCACGGTCAGTGCCCGTCGCCACAGGCTCGGGAGGGCGAGAACAGGTGGGCGACTCGCCGTGCGCGCAGGAGAGTGGTGGCTTTTGGTCCGCCGGAGCAGTGCGTTGGTGCTGACACGCGTTTCCTCGCTCGCGTGTTGCGCAGGTGCGAAATCATCGGCGCGTTCAACAAGAGTAGGGAACTGGTGTTCACGCACGCGCGCTACATCTACGGTGAGATCGCCGTGATCAAAGACGGTAATCTGCCCCTCTCCATACGCCCGCCGCGAGCCACACAACACACGTCACACGCACGACACACACGATGTACAAATGCACACACACACACACACACACGAAACATTTCCAGGCGTGTGGAGCGGCAAGCCCGACGACACGTTCGGTCAGTTCGAGTGTTGGGAGAAGGCCGACTTCCGATGGATCGCCCAAGGTCTGCTTGCCCCATTCCACCCCCCACCCCCCATTCTGCCCCATCGCCTCCAACTGACCGCGCCCACTTCAATAATAAATAGGGAAAGCGGCAGCAAAGCGGCCCACCAAGTCGTTTAAGAAGGCGGTGGTGATGCTGACGCCCGTCACCGGGGGCGCCTACTACCAACACTTCATCGACCGCGGGTGGTCCAAACTGATCCAAGCCTGGTACGGTGCTGCCGGCCAGGCCACGAGCGCCGCACGCGGGGCGGGCTCGGCTGACAACTGAACTGCACCGAACTGCACCACTGGGACGTGGTGGCCTGCAGGGACATGCTGGTGGAGGACCCGGAGATCAGGATCCTGGTGTCGCCCGGGTTCAAGAGGCACCCCAACGTGGAGCGCCTGTGGGAGCGCTTCGGCATGAAGGACCGCCTGGTGTACGTGAACCCCAAGGACACGGTCTACGCAGAAGAGGTGCGTGCTTCATGTCGCGGTGGCGCTGTGTGTCGTGTGTCGTGTGCCGTGTCGTGTGTCGTGTGATGCGGTTGAGTTAAAGTGCTCAATCTTTTGCTCAAAAACCGAAGATGGTCTTCCCGTGTGTGGCGACACACTATCACCCGCTGGTCTACCAGCGCGCCCAACGACGACTCGGGGTCGACCCCGACGTGCCGCTCGACAAGCGAAAGAAGATCGTCTACTTCACTCGCAAGGTACATTTTGACTCCCGCGTGTGCGCGTGTGCTGTGGTGTATGCGGTGGTACGTGTGCGTGTGCGTGTGCGGTGGCTCACTGCGAGGCAATCACACCAGGGGAAATCGAGACAAGTACTGAACGAGGACGAACTGGTGGCGGGCATCCGGACGTGGCTGAAGGACAACAAGCGGCCCGAAGAGCTGCTCGTGTTCGAGAGCGAGGACTGGCCCGACCTGGACAAACTCATCCATTTCTTCAACCAAGGTGCGCATTATTTGTTTTGTCGCTTTCGCTTTTGTTTCTTTTCTCTGACGGTTGGCTGTGAGCAGAGGTGGTGGCTGTGGTGGGACCGCACGGTGGTGCCTTCTACAACGCGCTGTTTTGCGCCCGAAAGACGCTCGTCATCGAGTTCTTCCCCATCAGCATGAGAGGTCCGCGCACGCACATCACCGCACGCACACGCGCGAGCTTTGTGTTGGAAGCAAGCGAGCAAGCTCACACGCCCGTTCGTCAGGCGACGCGTACCGCTGGCCCGAGTGCATCTGGTGGCCCTCCCACTTTCTGGGCTTCCGCTACTACCAGGTCCCGATCCGCACCAAGTCAGCCGCCGTCAACGTGCAGCCCCATCTTGTCACCGACATCCTCCGCCACGAGCTTCCCCATGCCCCACCATCATCATGAAGCTTCAACCACAACCTTCTTCGGTAGACTACAACTTGGCTGTGTTTGCGTGCGATGTTCAATGGTAGCGATTGAGACAGAACTCGCTGATACGTTTCTTGACGGCAGCGATGAGCTCCTTCGCGGCCTGGGTGCTTGTTTCGATCACATTCTCGGGGTCCACCTCCACTTCCTCCTTGTTCTCTTCTTCTTCTTCTTCTCCGTTTTGGCCTTGCTCGTAGAAGTCGGACGGGAAGAGGGACGGCCCGCTGCCGTCGGAATTGTCGTAGGAGAAGTTGGCCGTGCCGCAGTGCGGATGGCCCCCGAACACGCCGGCGAACACGAACTCCCTCGTCTGCCTGTCCACCAGAAAGCCATACCTGGTGTTGTCCACACCAGCACCATTGCCACCAATAAATTATGAATAAAAAGAGAAAATGTTTGTTTTGCTAAATTAGGAAAATAGAGCAAAAAAAAGCAAAAAAAAACGACGATGGCAGGTACTCAATGGAGGAGTCATCGAAGTCAACGTAGGTGATCTCGAATCGGGCGTCGGAAGGAGGCAGGGCGGAGTTGAAGACGCGCACCTTGTTGTCCGCCTTGTCGAGCACCCGCTTGGCCTCGTATTTGCCCCACGACACCTCGAAACCGCGTTCGATCTCGCTCCGCCGCTGCAGCGTCACTCCATCATCCTCGTACCACCTGGGCACCAGTGCGTCGAAGCGGTCCCGCAGCAGGTCCTGGGCCTCTGCGACCAGCTCTTCTCCCACCGGCTCGTCGCAGTAGTTGCCGCCGGCGCCGGTGTCGATCAGGCGCCTGATACCCCGCCGCCCCCGATGTTGCCCAACTGGCCCCAGTGGAAGAAGTCCTTGTAGGGCGGCTCGAGGTGCACGACCTCCGGAGAGGCTGGTGGGTCTGGCTCCTCGAGCCGGAGGCACTTTCTGCCCTGCCTGCGGCGGCGCGACTCTGTGACAACACCCACTTCTTCCCCTGCTCCTGCTCCTCTTTCTTCTTTTTCATCCTTCTTCTCTGCCTCCCTGCCATCCTCTCTTCCTCGCTTCATCTTTTCTTTTTCTTTTTCTTTTGTTTGATTTTTGTTCTTTACTCAGAATTTAATGCTTCACCGAAGCGCAAGGAAAATTAAGTATAAATACATTGGTAATTCCTTCACACCAAACCACGAAGCCAGGGTCACTCCGATGGACTGCACAACAGACGCCGGCGCACCACTCGTGGTGTCGCGCTACAACGACGCCGCGGCGGTGCTGAGCGCTGCCCAGGACTTCTTCGCGGAGGACGAGCTGCTCACCTCCCTGCCCTATGGTATCCTTCGCCGGCTCTCCCGCACGCCGGACCTTTACGGCGCCGAACACTACTTTCTCTCGATCACCACGCCGGACCCAGCGCGGGCTGGCTCTCTGGAAGAGCCGATGAGTGCGAAGAGCAGAGTTGTGCTGCTGGCCATGCAGACCGGCCGCTGGCCGCTGGCGTTCTTCGTTTCGCCCAGAAGCCCAGAGAAGGAGGTGCGAGAGGCGGTGGTGAGGCTGCTACGCCACCTGAACGAGTCAGGCCAGGCCAAGGCTGTAGGGTGCGGCCCACTCCTCACACGGGCAGTGGCTTAGGGTCTTTTGGCTCACTCAACTGGTTTCCCAACGTGCAGGAAAGTGGAGGGCCAGAGCCACCACGCTGCGGTGCTGGCCGCCCTATGGAACGCCACGGCCGCCGATGCATGCCTGCCTCCTCTGCGAGTGCGGCAGCACGACCGCTTCCACATGTGCGAACGCGTGGTCGATCCATCTTTCGTCATCGCTGATGATGACCCGGTACGCCGCATGTTCAATGCAGAAAGCACCTGTAGGGCTCTACTCACCACCGCTCGTATGGGCAGACGCTGCGGATCAAGAAAGCTACGGAAGCCGATGTGGAGCTGCTCGCCGCGTGGTATCAGAGCTTCCGTGAGCGGCTGCACGACCCAACGGACCTGGATGGCGCGCGGCGCATGGCCCGCTCGTGGCTGGACGGCGAAGAAGGATGTGCGGCCTACCTGCTCCTCCGCAGGGCGGAGCACAAGGGCGAGCCTGAGACCCCAGTCTCTCTGTGCCTCACGAACCGGGAGACGCCCCACACGCGCACCATCTCGATGGTCTACACGCCGGCCGAACATGGGTGCAAGGGCTATGCCACGCGACTGGTCGCCTCTGTCACGCAGATCGCCTTGGCCGTCAAGCGCTACTGCTGCCTCTTCACCGACCTGGCCAACCCCCACAGGCACCTGCTCCCCCCCCCTTTGTGCCGAAGTTGAATAATTCTTTGCTGGTCTGCTGACATGTTGGCCACCGCAGCAACTACATCTACTACAAGGTGGGCTACCGCACACATTCGGAGTGGGACACCTACGAAACTGGCACTGATGCGGCACCCAGTTGAGCTGGGCAGCTCTGCCCAGATACTTGACGATCAACTCCTTGAACTGTGCAAAAGGTTTCTTTTCGTTATCAAAAGGCTAAACAACTAAACACTGAAAGAAATTACAACTTGCCGCGCGACCGCATACGCACACACCCCATCGCACACGCCCGCCCGGTGTGTTGTCATCGTTTCTCTGTTGCTCCGTGTCTGCGCCGACGGGAAGCCAATCTCTCTCTCTCTCTGTCTCCCGACCGCTCGTTCCCCGCTGGCCGTCAGACGTCGAATCGATGTTGCCACGCCCTGGAGGCGGTGAGTGGAACGTGTGTCGTGTGTGTGTGTGTCGTGCTGCGGTCGTGCGCGTGTGTCGAAAACAAAGCCACGCGCTCCTCGTTAGATGAGGACGCAGCCCTTCTTCTTCTTGTCCTTGGACTTGTCTTCCGAGGGAGTTGATGCCGAAGGGGTCGAGGCCGCACGCGGGTTCTTGGCCTGGCGGAACGCGATCGTCTCCTTCACCAGCTCACTGTGTATCACGCGTGTGCGTGTGCGATGAGTAATCGGAGCCGCACACACACACACAGGCACGGGTGTGGCGTACGTGAAGATCTCATCCACGTTCTGGCGCGACTTGGCCGAGGTCTCCATGAACTTGCAGCCGAGCTTCTTGGCCTTCTCCTCGAGCTCGGACTTCTGCACGACCCGCTTCTCTTCCATGTCGGCCTTGTTGCCGACCAGCATGAACGGCACGCTGTTGGCGTCCTTCACCCTGAGAATGGCATCGTGGAAATCCTCCACATCGTTGAAGGTCGTGCGCGAGGTAATATCTGTGTACGCCAGCACAGGCACAGAGACCGCGTCAGGCGCGTGTGTTGTGGGCATGTTGTGCGTGTGCGGTGGTGCGGGTGCGTGTGCGTGTGCGACGAAGAGGACGGATGAGTACCGTAGACGCAGAGGAAGCCGTCACCCTCCTTGTAGTAGGACTCGCGGATGGCCATGAAGTCGTCCTGGCCGGCGGTATCGATGATATCCAACACGCACTCGATGCCATCGACGGTGATTTGCTTACGCTGGAAGAAGACGAACAACGTCAGTCAACATTGATGAACGGTATATGTGCGTGCGACGGGATCGCGTACGTATGAGTCTTCGAGCGTCGGGTCTGATGATGAGAAGCAAAAAAAAAAACAACAAACGGCAAGTTTGCGGCAAAAGTTAGGACAAGCTTGCGGCACGCGATCATGTAATTTCGCATGAAATGGAATGCGCGGAATGTGGTGATAAAAGTAGGGCAAATTCCGTAAATTCCAAAGTTGAACTCATCCACGTGGGTGATAAAGGGGGATGGCAGGAAAGAGAGAGAGGTGAGGTGGAGAAAGATGAAAGAGGGAGGCAGAGAGAGAGAGAGAGGAAGGCGTGCCATAGTCCTGGACGAAGCGGTTGGCGATGTACATGATGGTGATACAGCTCTTGCCGACACCTCCCGAACCCACCACTACCAAACGGTACATGTGACTCATCTGCGTTGTTGTCGGGTTGACGGTATTAGTCGCTGGTTGGTACGTTCGTTGCTATCGCCAGGGGCGACCTCGAGTTGATGGGAAATCGGGAGGGAGGGGATGAAAAGAAAGAGCGAAGACGAAAGCGAAAGCGAAGAGAACGATTTCGTTCTTTTCTCGGGGGAGTTCAAGATGAAGGGTTAAAAGCAGAAGAGGAGAGCTGCACCTTGTGAATATGCGAGAATGTAGAGGGATGAAGATATCAATAGCTAGGTCGAAGATTCGGACTATTGATCGCGAATCTGCCAGTAGACAAATGAAAATGGTCGAGATTGAAGACAGAATTTCGCGGGTTAGATGCCCTCCGTGGCTCTCGCGAATAATCGAAGACGAGATTCAAAGATAGATGGCATACCTCTCTTGCTTTGTGATGCCGAAAAATATGATCCAAAGGGGGTGGCGAGTCGGCTTCTGCTGTTGTTCTACCGCGCGTGCTCTGCTTCTGCGCCGTGGTCTTGGGGTATTTTCGTTGCTCGGAGGCAAACCCAACGACTCCGAACGCAGCCCATGGGGCCAATCAGCGAAACAAAAATTATAATAAAATTCAATATTTCGCCGACGATCCCCGGCAAAAACCGCGCATGTCAGCCACGCACACGTACTCCCAATACACCGACCCTGGTCGGTGTGCGGCAAAAACCCAAGGGAAGGCCACACACTGGTGTTGTGAGAACATAACATATCAAACATGTTGTGGTTGGTAAAACGTTCAAGGAAGCTTGGTGCTTCATTTCTGCTTCTTGGCGTAGTCGTAGAAGCCCTTGCCAGATTTGACGCCTGCCGGCATGGCACACGCGACACACGAGTGTAAGAACAACACGACACACGCGACACGCACGACACACGTTATAATAATAATACAAAGTGAGGGGGGGAGGAAGAACAGTACCGAGCCAGCCGGCATCGACGTACTTGATGAGGAGAGGAGAGGGACGGAACTTGTCCTCGCCGAGCTCCGAGTGCAGCACGCGCCTGCGGTCCACTATTGTCAGACAAAGTCACCGCACGAACGCACAACACACAACTCATCACACAGACACCATTGCACAAGAGAGGGTAGAGTACATGATGGCCAGGACGGTGTCGAGACCGATGAAGTCGGCCAGGGTGAGCGGACCCATGGGCATGTTGCATCCGAGCTTCAGCGTGGTGTCGATATCCTCACGCGAGCCCAGACCCTGTGGTCGTGTGTTGTGTGTCACGTCGAGTCGGTTAGTGTTTGCTCGGTGCCGCGTGGGCCTCTCTTTAAGAGAAGCACGCGTACGTCCTGGAGGGCGTTGATAGCTTCGTTCAGGTACGGGCACAGGAGCCTGTTGGCGATAAAGCCGGGCCTGTCGTCAGACTGGGCGGTAGTCTTGCCCATGGCCCTGATTTGCGGCGGGGTGCGGACGTCAACGCACTGGTCAGCACAGCTTGTGTGTGTGTGTGTGTGTGTGTGTGTGTTGTGTGTGTTGTGTGTTGTGTGTGTGTGTGTGTGTGTGTGTGTGTGTGTGTGTGTGTGTGTGTGTGTGTGTGTGTGTGTGTGTGTGTGTGTGTGTGTGTGTGTGTGTGTGTGTGTGTGTGTGTGTGTGTGTGTGTGTGTGTGTGTGTGTGTGTGTGTGTGTGTGTGTGTGTGTGTGTGTGTGTGTGTGTGTGTGTGTGTGTGTGTGTGTGTGTGTGTGTGTGCATGTCGTGTGTGTGTGGTGTCGTGTGGAGGAGGGCTAGCATAAGTACTTGGCCAGGGCGAGGGTGGTCGAGAGGGTGTGCTCGGAGGTGGCGAGACCGGGGATGATCTCCACCAGCTGCATGATCGGGACGGGGTTCATGAAGTGCATGCCCACCACCTTCTCGGGCCTGGGCGTGAAGGCGCCGATCTTGGTGATCGAGATGGACGAGGTGTTGGAGGCCAGGATCGCCTCGGGCTTGGCCACGCGAGCCAGCTCCCTGAGATTCGTGTCGTGTCGTGTCGTGTCGTGTCGTGTCGTGTCGTGTCGTGTCGTGTCGTGTCGTGTCGTGTCGTGTCGTGTCGTGGTAAGCATAACGCACAAGCCTTCGGTCAACACCGGTGAGGCGGGGAGGCGAGGTGAGGGGCAGGGGGCGCACTTGAAGATCTTCTCCTTGATGAGCACGTTCTCGGAGGCGGCCTCGACGATGAAGTCGGCCTCCTGGAGCTTGGCGACATCGGTGGAGATGGCAATGCGCGACTTGGTCTCCTGAGCCGCCTGCTCCGTGATCTTGCCCTTGGCGATGTTCTTCGCCAGGAAGTGATCTGTGTCACCGTCATCACGACCAGAGCACGCTCGGGTCAGCACACACGCACCGCACACACATCGCACAGGCAGCGAGGCACGCACCCATGGTCTGGAGGGCACGCTCGAGCTGGGCCTGCTGCGAGTCGACCAGCACGACGCGCACGCCGGCCACCTGCGACGCAACCTGCGCGATGCCACCGCCCATCTGACCGGCGCCCACCACGCCCAGCGTCTTCACGCCGTGCGTCTTTTGGGCAGAGGCCACATTCCAGCAGATTAATCATTGAGACGCAAAGATGGCAAATTAAAACAGTATAATGCTGATTAATAATAATAGTAAATGAACAAGTGCGACAAGCCTGAAGTCGGTACCGAGTTATCAGTGGTGTAGAGGCGACGTGCCGAACCAGCAGAGGTCTGCACGGAAGGAAAGCGATTGTTCTTAAATTAATGCACCGGTGGGTGGGAAACGTCAGCTTGTTCATTTCCACGTACCCGGAGGGAAGGGGCGCTGCAGGCCACAGGCGATGCACGAGCGAGACGCGAAGTGTTTCTCAGCATTTTATAGATCTGTCGTGAATTGTATAAAAATCAAATTGTGATCACCAAAGCATGAGGCCTCCCTTCCGCGGGGCCAGCACAGAATAGGCCGTGCAGCGGGAGAGACATGCGGGGGAAGAGCGAACCTTGAGCAGCAGAGCAATGCGAACACAAAAGATAAATAAAAGTACGAGTTTTAATCAAAAGATTAAATCAGTTCGCGTCGACAGCCGCACAAGCTCCTTAGGAGAGGATGCAGCAGGCGCACATGTCGCCGGTCTTGTCGGGCAGGACGAGGGGCGTCCGCTCGTGGTAGGTATCGCCCTGGCGCACGATCTCCTCGTGCTCGATGTCGTGCGGGGCCGAGTACTCCTTGGCCCTGAGGTCCAGGTGCTGCGGCACGGTGATCACTAGCGGGATGATGATCGACAGATCGACCGCCATCGGCACATCGCACTCCACCTTCAGGTCATACGTTGCTGTACCAAGAAAGAAAGCGTGAGCGCTCTCAAACTTGAGCTGTGTGCGTGTTTCTTGTAGTGTCGTGTCGTGTGCGGTGGTGAGTGTCTCAGAGTTGGGCCATACCCTGGAGGAGGTCGCTCTTGGTGGAGAGGCGAGAGAAGTCAGTCGGGATGCGGAACTTGGCAAAGCGGCTGTCCTTCGTGGCCTCCGCGAGACCCTGTGAACAAGAAAAGACAATTCGCTCAGTCGACGCCCGATTGCGGCGATTGGAGAATGGGAGTGGCGCGAGTACCTCTAATCGGAGGTGCTGGGCATTGTCCGAGTGGCTGAAGCGGTGGTGGTGCGCGCGCAGGGTCATGTGACGTCGCAGGTCGACATTGATACCCGTGACCTGTTTGGAAAGAAGAACAAAGGTCAGACACGACACGACACGACACGACGCGACGCGACAGAACAGAGCTCGAAAGGGCCTATGCGTGCCTTCTTGACGGATTCGTTGCTGACTTCGAGCTTCATCTTGACCTCGTCGCCGGGGAAGTAGACATCGCGGTCCAGCTCCACCCGCATGCCCAGGTGGCCCTGGTTGAACATGAACGACTTCCGGTTGGTGTGCTCCACCGGCGAAATGGGTCCTGTTCGGGTCACGCAACACAGCGCAAGTTTGACAAAGAAGCGGTCAGCCAAACCGTTTGGATCATAGTCAGCGGCCACCAGCAACAGTGGGACTGCCAGGCGCACGCACCGCCAGTGTGCTGGCCGACGGTGAGGTGGACATGGGTCTTGAGGTCGCGCGCGTGGTGGGCGTCCACCTCGGCCGAGAGCTCGTAGTCGATCTTGGCCTTGACCGGGTGGGCATGCACTGATGCCTTCTCACTGCACTCGTAGTTGATGAATCAGCAACCAAACACCGGACACGCACACTCACACGCACCACCGCACCACCGCACGCACACGACAAGCTTAAGAGCGGTAAGGAGCGTACAGGAAAGAGGCGGGAAGGCCGGAGGAGAGGCGGTGGGTGAAGCGGAATGTGTTCTGGCCGGGCTGAAGGGTGACGGCGCCCGACAGGATGACCTTCTCCTTCAAGAAGTGGTGGCTGTCCTTCCTGTGCACCTTCACGTGTTTCACTCTGCCCTCGCTGTCCTTCTCCATCTCCGTCTCTACCATGTATCATGGCCACACGCAAACGGTTACGAAGAAGAAAGCAAAATAAGGAATAAAAAAAGAATAATAAGAAATAGAGGACAATGAGAATCAGGATTGGTACCTTCCCAAAAGACCTTCTCGCGTCCGTCGATGAAGAGGGTAACGTGGTGGGCCTGAAGCGGGTGGGACACGGTCACCACAACGTCGCCGGAAAGGGCGTCGCCCGCCGTGTAGTGCTGCTGGTGCAGGAAGATGGCCACGCTCGACATGCTTGAGAGACGAAGAAGAAGACGTGCAAGTTAGCGACTGTCGCGACTGTACGTAGCAGCCTGGGCTGGTGAACGCACCTGTGAACGTTGGGTCGTGAGTTCGTATCGGTAATATGTGCGCCAAGGTCCGTTTTTTTTCTTTGACCGGCGACTCCGAAACAGGGACTCCGCTTTCTCCCTCTCGTTTCGGGTCCCGAAAGTCGGGCGCAGTGAATGGCTGGTAACACACGCAGAGTAGGGTGGGTGAACAGACACACAGGGCCTATGACACTATGTTGACCCGCCGCAACACGATCAGAACACTGGTTCTCACTCTGTAAATATTAATAAAAGAACTGAAAATGATGAAAAACCGCTTGGGGCGCTTTCTTTCGCAACCAAGCGAACAAAGAACACGATGGCAGCACAGGGAAAGACAGGACTGCTGGTGATTGACCTCCAGAACGACTACTACCCCGGCGGCAAGTTCGAGCTCGAAAACGTCGAGCAGGCGTCGAGCAATGCGGTTCGCCTGCTGCAGGCCTTCCGCGAGAAGGATCTGCCTCGCTTCCACGTCCGTCATGAAGCTGCTGACCCTGCCCTTGGCTTCTTCCTTCCTGGCACTCCCGGCGCTGACATTCACGAGCAGGTACGAGCGCAAGACAGTGGGGGGGGGGTTGAAATCTAGCTGCTTACAGATGGGGGGGGGCTGCAGGTGAAGCCGCAAGAGGGTGAAGCCGTGGTGACCAAGACTGAGATCAACTCCTTCAAGGGCACTGATCTTGAGGCCAAGCTCAAGGCTGCTGGCGTATGCTCTCCACGCGTCGATGACCCCCCCCCCGCCTCTTTAGTGTCTGACCGGCTGGTTGGTTGGGTGGGCTGGATGGGCTGGAACAGGTGGACAACCTCGTTGTCTGCGGCGCAATGACCCACATGTGCGTCGACTCGGGTGTGAGGTTCGCCACCCAATCCAGCTGGCCAACGCCCTGCCACTGGAGCCCTTGAGCCTTCACTGACGTCAACATTTTCGCATAGGGCTGCGAGCGACCTGGGCTTCAAGTGCGTCGTGCCGGGTGACGCCTGCGCCACCCGCGACGCTCAGTTCCAGGGCACCACCGTCAAGGCCAGGTACACTTTGACACCTGCTCTGTTGCTCATCACCACGAAGCTTCAGTCAGTCCGGCCCGCCTTTGACCTAATCCTGTCTGTGTTCCCTTTCCCGTGTAGGGATGTGCACGCGGCCTACCTGGCCGCGCTTGACTTTGCCTTTGCGAAGGTGGTCTCCACCGACGAAGTCCTGAAGACGGTGTCGGCCTAAGACTTGCCAGTACCTCTCTTCAGCACCATTCCTCGAGGGAAGCTTCATGCTCGTCCGTGAATAAAAGATGCTGTCCGCGGCTTCGGTCTCGTGCCCGAAGCAGAAGCAGGAGAAGAAGCAGAAGAAGACGACGACGACTACTACGAGGCCCGCATCAAGGAAAGGCAACAGAGGATTCTTTCGAACGAAAGGGTGCTCAGTCCCGGTTGGCTGCTCGGGCCAATGAAGGGCAGGAGAAGATTATCGGGGCATTTTTGCTTTTCTCATTCGCGATTTCTTTTTCACTTGCATTTTCTTTTGCAATCATTATTGGGTCTGCGCGAAGAAGAGGCGAAGAGGTACCACGAGGAACAGGCCTAAGAAGAGCCACCACAGAAAGGGCGGATCGTTGTTTGAATAACACACGCTTGGCTGCAAGATCAGGCAGAAACGTTCGAGAAGATGCAAGCCCATTCGAGTGGCTTCGCGTCGCCACTACACAGGAAAAACGTCTCGTTCAAATTGGGTGAATCGCGATCTGCTCTTTGCCCGAGTAGCACCAGCGATCCAGCCCAATGCAACCTCCACATCTCTTCATCCAATCTCGCCTCTTTCTCGCCACCGCCGCCATCACCGCGAGCCGGCGCAGGATCTTCGCCCTCGAGCGACGAAGTCCTCGCCCGTAGCTTGATTTCTTCCCTCACGCAGCACCTGCAGCAGCTCTCGCTCTCGCCCAAGCACTTCGCCGCGGCAACGGATCTGTGCATCTATTTGGAGGAATTCGAAGACGCCTCGGCGGCGTGCATGGTGCTGCAGGGCCTTGCTCGCATCTTTGGAGGAGGTGATGGTGCTGGACAAGAGGGAGGCTCGACAACGCTGCAATCCTTGGAATCTATCGCCTACGCGCTTGGCCCCAAAGCGAAAGAAGATCGGGACGCCGCCACTACACCGCGAGAAGGCGAAGAGGTCTCCTTCTGCGTGAAGAAGCTTTGCATCCTGGCTTCGTTCCCGTTGACCGCCCAGACCGGTGGACACCTCTCGCTGTTGCTTGCGGCCCTGCCCAAGCTAGACAGCCTCGACGTCATGGTAGCCAGCTGCATTTCTTCTTCTCGCTCTTAGCTCGTGTTTCTCACAGTGCCGCATTAACAACATGCAATGCAGGCTGGGGACGGGCTGCGTGCGCGTGCAGTGTTTCCGCTGCTGCTTCAGAGCGTGCGCACGTGTGGCGCGACGCTCACATCACTCGTGTTAGATCGCTTCCGGCTCACCGACGCCGACCTGCACCTGGCCATGATCAAGCTGCCACAAACCACCCGTCGGCTGCAAACGCTGAGCTTCAAGAACAACGAGTTTGGTACGTACGCTCGATCTCAAGTGCAATACACACTTTGGCTGACGCGTCTGCGTGTTTTGCGCGACCTCCTAGGCCCCGCTTCGATCAAAGCCGCATCGGGATGGCGCGGAGAAGGCGTGGAACAGCTGGCAAGCGTGGTGGCCAGCGGAGCGCAGATGAGCCTGCTCTCGGTGCTGAATCTCTCCGACAATCGGCTGAGCGATGAGGCTCTGGTGCTGCTCTCCAAGGGTATCTCACAAACGGGCTGTCGCCTTACTGACCTCGATCTCAGTCGCAACAACTTTGGCCGAGAGGGTGCGCGAGGTACGCGTCATATCATACCACTGTGAATACAACTCGCGAGTTAGCTTCCGATCAGACCTGCCTACTGACTCGCGATACAGCGTTGGGCAGGGCACTGTTGACCAACCGAACAATTGCGTCGCTGAACCTGTCGAGCGTTAACAATCACGAGCGGGGATGGCATCAAGGAGTCGACGACATCGCGCACGCGCTCAGCGTGAACGAGGTAACCCGCTCTTTTACGTGCGTGCGTTCAAGTGCGTGCTTTGCTCAACCTCTTCGCATTTGTACTTCTTTTCTCTGTGTTAGACTCTGCGATACTTGAACCTGTCGCGCAACAAGCTGCCTTCGACTGTCGCCGGTCACCTCGCGTTAGCCCTCGGTACGCCACCCACCAAATTGCAGAGCCGTTCGCTCGAGCAATCTCAAATTCGAATATGCCGTTGGCAGGGAACAACAACTGCCTGACGTCACTGGACGTGAGCTGCAACCGTCTGGGCCTCGAGGGAATCGAGCAGCTGGCTACCGCGCTTCGGTCCAACCACTCGATCGTCTGTCTCGACCTGCGAAACAACACAAGAGAGGCCGCCAAGGAGGACAAAGAGAGCGGCCGCGAGGAGCGAATTCTGATGGACGTCCTGCGCGAGAACATTACACTCGGGCAGCTGCACTACGGCGAGGACGAGCTCTTCCTCAATCAGAGCAGGAAGGGCGGAACCCCGCAATCGACGGTGATGTTCAGCAACGTGATTCAGACCTATCTCGACGACAACCGACGGCGGCGGGTGCGCAAGGAGCGGGTCACCGCCTCGCTGGCGCACAAGGACGAGATCGATGAACCCGACGAGACCGACGAGATGATCAGCGTCGAAATGATGCTGCTGGATCGGGGCGACGAGGAGAGTAGCCGATACCAAACGATCGACCTCTCGTGCTACTCGCTGTCTTCGAACGCGGTCGCACACGTCATCGCGAGGGAGCTCAACGTCAAGCAGTCCGGCCACGGGCGCAAGGACGATACCTCCGCCGCCCTCTCGCCGTCGTCGACACTCTTGTCGCCACGGTTTCCGCCGTCCGTTAACACAACAACCTCGGCCTCCTCTTCCTTGGTCTCTTCCTCCGCTTCCGCCTCACCATCTTCATCTTCGTCGTCATCTACACCGTCGCCTTCCACATCATCGTTAGCCTCTCCGGCGCCTTCGTGGGTGTGGAAGTCAACCCCGTCGTTGCTCTCCAACTCGCGCCTCACCTCCACCCACACCGATCAATCGCTCCTCTTCGAGAAAGTGCTTCTCTCCGGCAATCGCCTCACATCCGTGCCCGTGAGCGGGTTCGAACCGGGCAGCGAGCGATGGGAGAATCTGACGTCGCTCGACCTCTCGAGCAACCGCCTCTCCTCCCTCCCGGCCGCGCTGGGCGACATCGCGAGCCTGCGCGTCTTGGACCTGCGCTTCAACCTCCTGCAATCTCTGCCGCCCGAGATCGGAAAGCTCAAGGTTGGAATCCTCGTAACTCATTTCACAGCAGCTGCGGTAAGCACTAACGTACGCACGCACAGGAGCTGCGAGAGCTGCACTTGAACAAGAACTATCTCATGGAGCTGCCGTTGGAAATCTTCCAGCTGCGGTTGAAGTCGCTCTCGCTCTTCGGCAACCCAATGCAGAGAATCAAGATCAAGATCTACGAACAATGCCAGGGCTGGCGCGACACGCTTGACCTCTCCTACGAGCGCATCGGTACCGAAACGCTAATTCTACGTGTGTGCGTGTGTCGCGTGTCGTGTGTGTGCTGATCCGCGCGAATCCAGGTTCGGACGAGCTTTCGCATCTGCCCACGGATCTCTTTCCCGGCCTCACCCGACTGCGACGCCTGGTGCTCAACCACAACGACATCTCCCTGCTGTCGTCGGGTGTGGCGCAGCTGGCCTCGCTCGAAGTGCTGGAGCTGGAGGATAACCGGCTCAACGTGCTCCCCTGGCAAGTGGGCAACATGCCCAACCTCAAGGTGCTCAAGCTGGACGGGAACCCGTTGACCAAGGTCCCCCTAGAGGTGGCGCGGTCCAAGGGCAACCTACAGATCTGGCAGCGTTATTTGGTCGGGCTCAAGGCCCGCATGGACGAGTCCTACAGAATGAAAATGGTGCTGGTAGGTGACCATGCACTGGACAAGGCCTGCCTTCTGCAGTCAATCGCGGACTACGTGCGCCCAGCGTACGATCGGCCAAACCACTCGTTGCTGGACTTCGTGCACTTCTCTGATCCGCCTTTGTTACTACAGTGCTGTGGAGCGAGAAGCCAGCGATGACGGTCGTCAGTCCTCGCGGTTCGAAATGGAGCCGGAGGAAATGCGCGCCACCGATCTGGTGATCAAGGCCAGCACGCGAGGGATCAACTCCTCCGCCAACGTCGACGTCACGCTCTCGGCTCTGAACATCACCGGGTATCACCTTCAAGACATCTTTCCCACAACACGGTTGCCATGCCGGTAATATTAATCGACCTTGGCTGATTCAGGCTCACGGTGAACGATCCCACGTACCACTGCTTCTTGGTCAACAAGTGCATCTACATGCTTGTAGTCAACATGCCCGACTTCACGATCGAGTCTGTCGAGGAGTGGCTGCAGCTGCTTCGCAGCAGGTACTCTCCCAACCTGCTTCCCTGGGCCTGATTACGACATGGGGTTGATGATTATATTTCTTTCTATCTACGTTTACGTTCGAACGCAGGGCGGGCAAATCGGTCGTGTTGCTGGTGGGCACTCACCCCAACAGCGCGGGCTGCTCGCCGGAGCAGAAGGGAAGGATCGCCTCCGTCTTCCACAGCAACACGCTCATCAAGAAGTACCCCATGATTCGCAACATCATTTCCGTGTGCGGCAAGACCCGGAAAGGTAAACGCGTTCTCTTCACCTGACACTTTTCTCTTTCACCACCTGCTTAAGATCTGGTCTCACGCGTCGACGCCACACGGCCCATCGCGGTACACAGACATTGAGCTCTTGGTGCGTACGATCTATCAGGCAGTCACCGCACAACCTTACATGCCCGCCTTCATCTCACGGGGCGCCGTGCTCTTCGAGGAATTCCTGGCATCTGAGAGGTGCGTCGGCGAGTCTTGGTGTTGGTCGTTGGTGGGTAGTGGCTCGCCCATTCTCACACAAAACTACCTGCGACCCACATGTTGCATACACAGGATGGCACGCATGCCACCGATCATGGACTGGGACGAGTATGTTTCCGTCGCGCACGACTGCGGTATCGCCCCGGACCAGGTCATGACCGTGACCAAGCACTTTCACCGGATCGGTACGCAGCCCAGCAGGGTATCTCAGTAATCAGCGTCCTACATTTTGCTGCTCAGTTTTGCTCACTTTGCAACGCATACGATACAGGCCTGATCAGCGCCCACACCAAGACGGCGTCTCGATCGCTGCTCAGTCGGATGGTGCTGCTCGATCCCTTGTGGCTCCTCCATGTCTTCCGTACTGTCCTATCGGCATCGACCACGTACGTGCAACTGGCCCACCCGCGCGCTGCCTCAAGAGAGAGAGGCAGTTGGACTAACGCGATACGCACCACCGTGACAACATAGTACGACGAAGCAGGGCGTCATTCGCGAGAAGGATCTCTGGGACATGTGGCAGTCGCACGGCTATGCTCCCGAACTGCAGGTAAACTGCACGCATGCAACTCTGGTGCGCCAGCTCAGCTCAGCTTTCTATTGCCCAACAGGAACTGCTGCTTCTGCTATTGGAACAGTTTGGTCTCGCTCTGCGGTTGGTCCGATCCACGACCGCGCTCGAAGGTGGTCACCACGCGGCAGCCAATGACGACACCTCACCGCTCGCCTCAAGCGCCGCATCCCAGGCCAAGGGCGACGACGCCAAGCGGCGGTACCTGAGCAAGGTCGAGCGCACCAAGCGCATCGATTCGCTGGTCGATCACAGCTGGCAGAACATGCTCGAGCTGCAGGCCCGGGAGGACGAGCGCGAGAGCAAGGTCCGGGGCGAGAAGATCATTATCCCCTCGCTGCTCTCGACCGCCCATCTCCCCCTGCACAAGTTCGGGTGGCGGCCCGAGCGCTATCTCATCAAGCTCGAACTTCGCGAGCGCAAGCGCTCCAACGCGCCGGCGCTGGCGTTGGCGGGTTCGGCCTCGGCGGCGGGTTCGGCCTCGGCGTCATTGTCGTCATCCGTTCGCTATGTCTCGACGTCGGTGCAGCTGAGGAGATACCTACCGCTCTTCCCCAATACGCCTTACCCAATGCCCTCTTCGTCTTCATCGTCGACGACCATGACTGCTTCATCGTCGACGACGGACCACCACGGCAACGCGCTGACGCCGACGGGGTCCACCGCGCCGCGCACGATCCAGAACTCGGGCCTCGGCTACCTCTACGGTCCGGCTTACCAGCCGGAGCAGAACAGCTTCCGCCTGGGGGTCTCGCTCGAGGCCAACCAGCTGCTCCAGGCGATGATGCCACCGCCGCCGCCGTCGGCCGCCACCCCGATGGCGTTGTCAGCCGCGGCTGCAGAGTTGGCCGGAGGCAGCGGAGCCAGCGTGCGCTTTCTGGCGTCGTCGTCGACGGCAACGTCGCCACTGCTCATAGGCGCGTCGTCGTCGTCTTCTTCATCATCGATGCTGGCCGGCTCCACGTCTACCACTACACCTCCGGTCACACCATCGTCCACCTCGCCGCCCCAGTTCGGCCGGCCCGCGCACTCGCTGTCTCGGTCGCCGCCTCCCCGGTCGCCCTGCCTGTCTGCGTCACCGCCCACGCCGGCGCCCTCGCTTCTGGCCCCGGCGCTGGCCATCCCACGCCGTGGCGTCGTGCACGAGCTGCGTCGGAGCTATCGATTCGACTACCTCCCCGCTGGCTTCTTCTCGCGGCTGCTGGTGCACCTGCTCCAGGTGGTCGACTCGCCGCTCTATTGGAAGCACGGCATTGTGCTTCTGCAGTCCAACAACAACACCCGCAGCAAAGCCAACCAACCGTGCGATGGCAGCAGCGGCGGCAGATCATCGTCGGTGGCGATGGCATCACCAGCGGCGGCCAGGATGGCGTCGCCCTCCTTCTCGCTGTCGACAGCTTCGGTGCTCTCGTCATCGCCGCACATGCGGGAGCTGCGACGGTCGGGGCTCGACTTCGACATCTTCCAGAACGGCGGCAGCGGGCGGCGCGGCCAGGGACTCGGCATCAAGAAGAAGCAGAAAAAGGAAAAGGTCAAGCAGCGCAAGGAAAGCGCTGAGCAGAGCGCGCGGGGCTCGGGCAAGGAGAGCCTCGGCGGCAGCAGGGCCGGACAGCCGGACCTTGACAAGGACAAGCTGAAGGACGAGCAGCGGGCGCTCCTGGAGGAATTCCCGGAGAAGAGCATGCTCAAGGTGCAAGTCTACGGAGCCAATCCGGGCAAGCTTCTACGGCTGATCGAGGTACCGGACACACACACACACCCTCTGACACTTTACAACGCGGCCTAACATTCGCTTCTTGGGTGCAGGCCAACATCGAGGATTTGGCGATCAACTGGTTCCGGGTCAAATCGCAGGTGCTGGTGCCGTGCTGCCACTGCATCGCTCTGCGCAAGCACAAGCTGGCCAAGACCACGCTATACGCGTCGCATAAGCTCAAGTCAACGGGGAAGCGTTCGGCGGCCGATGGCCTTACGCACGAGGACGAGCTCATCGAGGTCGGCATGGGCGAGGCGCAGAACGATGACGACGAGCCGTTCCTGTTCTCACTGGAGGAGTGCCTGCGCGCCATCACCAAGCGGAGGCGCGTGCTCTACTGCCAAGCCGGACGTCTCGTCCCCATCGATAACAGCGCCCGGCAGCGGGGCCGGTATGTGACTTACTTCCTTACAAGCGTGCATGCAACACGCACGCGTACCACCGCACACGCACACCACCACCGCACACGCACACACTGCGTTGTCTGATCTGATCGAGTCGTGGTTTGGTGGTGAAGGCGAAAGTCGACGAGCAAGATCTATCTCGAGGGCGAGGACCTGCCGGCCGTGCGACTCGACAACCTGGTACCCGACCTCTCGCTGGCCGATCTCCAAGGGTTCGAGATCGATTACTCGGAGATCAAGATCATGTCCCAGATCGCCCTCGGCCCCTTTGCCGTCGTCCACTCTGCCATCTACCGCGGAGAATACGTGGCCGTCAAGGTTATCCCCCCCCCCTTTCTTCTTTCCACCTCTTCTTCTTCTGGTGGGTGTCCTGCTAACATAAGAATGCGTGTCACAGGAATTCCGCATACTGCCATCGGACTCGCCGGACGAGGAGTCCCCATATGTGTCCGAGGAGGAGATCCTCTCCGTGTTCAACGAGTTCCGATCCGAGGCCTGGCTCATGACGTACGTTTTCCATTCTTTTTGAGTGTGAGTCGTTGGCTCACGACACGCACATGACACGCAGGCTGTTGGACCATCGCAACTTGGTCAAGCTCGAGGGAATATGCCGGGGGCCTTTCTCGCTGGTCATGGAGTTCCTCTCGCAGGGCACGCTCTACGACTACGTCCACGCGTACGAGTGCCTTCCATATTCCTACCTTCTTTCTTATCTTTAGGGACGGGCTGATCACTAACGCGTGCGCCCGTGTCTGCAGACGGGGGCAATTGAGCTGGGACGAGGTACTGAGCATCGCGCGAGACATCGCCGAGGGCATGAACCACCTCCACTCACATTCGCCGCCCATCATTCACCGTGACCTCAAGTCCACCAACGTGATGGTACTTTTGCACCTTCCTGTCGTAGGCGTGGAACGACGCAAGCTCTGCATTTCTCACTGGCGCCTTCTTTGCGACGTGTTCAGTTGTCGAACGGTGTGGCCAAGGTGTCAGATTTCGGTCTGTCGACGGCGCACTCGCTCTTCGTGAAGGGCCGGGTGGTGGACAATCCGATGTGGCTGGCCGTCGAGGTCATTCGCGGCGAGGCCTTCTCGCTCAAGTCTGACGTCTACAGCTATGGCATCATCCTGTGGGAGCTCATCACCTGCCAGCCGCCGTTCCGCGAACACCTCGAGGCCAGCATGTTCTGGTTTGACCTCGAGCAAAAGATCATGAACGGTATGTCTACGCAGTTGTCACGATTAGAGTTTTTTTAATTTTTTATGCATTATTATTTTGAATACTAATCCGATTGTTATTATTTAAATGTTGCAGGTCTTCGGCCGGCAGTTCCTGAGAGCTGTCCTGAGGCCTACGCCGAGCTGATGCGCGAGTGTTGGAACGAGAATGTCGGCGTGCGTCCATCGTTCAACCAGATCCTCAAGCGCCTGGCGTCGATGTCGAAGTGCAGTCCGTGCCCTCTGTTCGAGGCAGCCCCAACGCCGGAGAGCGAGCCGGTGTCGGCGCCGGCGCCGCGGTTCGTCCACATTCCGTCGGCGCAGGCGCTCGTGCCACAGCACCAGCGAGCCAGCGCCAACCCGTTGGCTTCGTCTTCCTATGCGTCAGCCGGGGCGTCCGCGTGGCACACGGCGAGCAAGCAGCAGGCCAAGGCCAACCTGGTAATGTCGCTAAATACTCTCGACAGCGACAACTAGTACGTAGACACGCACACGCACACGCACACGCACACGCACACGCACACGCACACGCACGACAGTACCCAACACAACACCCTCTGTTTTTGCACAGCTTGAGCCCTCCGGACTCGTCGGCCACCTGGCGTTGCCTGCTTCGCCCATCCCACTCAGGGGCGGTGCAGTGCCTGCTCGGTGTAGAGGGCCACGTCTGGGCCGGCTGCAGAGGTATGACCCCTCACCAGTCCGGCCCGTCACTGTTCACTTGCTGACTGTATCGTATTCCCATGAAGATGGCACCATTCGCGTGTGGGACCAGTGTGGGAGTGTGGTGTGGGACATGCGCGCTCACCATCGGCAACGCATCAACGCGCTCTCGTTTTGCGGTGCGTTCGATCGCAACACACTTTCCACATCTCAGCTGCGATTCTCATGCGTGTCTGTAATTATGTGTCGTACAGGCGGCTACGTGTGCAGCGCGTCATCTGACCACACCGTGGGGCTTTGGGACGTTCACACGTTTAAGCGCCATCGGCGCTTGAACGGCCACTGGGAGGAGGTCACATGCCTAGCCAATGTCGGGCAGGAACTCTGGAGCGGCTCTCTCGATGGCTCCATCCGCGTTTGGTCCAGGGTACCTACCGCCCGACAACGGCCGATCATTATTTTCTGCCACTCACTTCGGCTCGACGACACACTTCACACAGAAATGGTCGTGCCGCCGAATGCTTGCCTTGGAGAGTCCGGTGCGGGCGATGCTCGTACACGACGGGCTGGTGTGGGTGGCCACCGACCGCGGAGTCAGCCTATTCGACGCCATCAGCACGTTGAAGGTGCACACGCACACGCACACGCACACGCACACGCACACGCACACGCACACGCACACGTGTTTGGCACGACGCTCTTGCTCACGTCATTCGTCTGCACATCGCCCAGGTCAACGAAATTCTGTACAGCAACCAGGAGGTCGGTGATCGCCTCTGGCAAGGCGCGGTGCGCTGCATGTGTCGCGTAGACGTCACGGACGAAGTGTGGATGGGCACCACTGCCGGCCAGCTCTACGTCTTCCGCGTGCGGGACGTCTGGGAAGGCAAGGGTACGCACTCGCACCGGTGTCCGATGACTCAATGCTCACGACTCACCGCGTCTTCCGCTGCCTCGTGCAGGAGAGTCGGAGCACAAGACGCCCAACCCGAGCTGGGCCTACCACACGGTGGCGTCGCCGCGACGAGACGACGGCGACGCGAGTGCGGGCAACAGCCCAACGGGGAAGAGGTTGCAGGACGAAACTGGCGGCGGCGAGGAGGAGAGCAGCGGTGACGAGGACAATGATCGGCAGGTGACGTCGATGCTTGCCGTGGGCGGACTGGTGTGGATAGGCGGGCGCCGAGGTGATCTCGCCGCCTTCGATGCCGCCTCCAGGACGCAGCGGCTCCACTTCGACCTGTACCACAAGGACGCGCTCACCTGCCTCTTCGCCGTCCCTCCCAGGTTCATCATCGTCCCCCCCCCCCGGGTCATTCCCTCCTGGCTTGCCTCTCTTCTCAAGTTTATGTTTTTTCTTGTTTTCTGGACTGGCAGTGCGAGGAAAGCCGACCGCCTGCCCACCTTCAGAGAGCGACAACACGTTCAGATGCGCAAGCAGGCCGAACAACAAGACGCGGCGACCAAGGGAAAGCAAAAAGTCGATGATGACAACAATGGCATCGGCAACAACCACTCCGCCAGCGACAAAGCCGACAAGAACGTTGAGGCCGAGGCTCTCGAAGCAGAGGAGGAATCGGCGAGCGTCTGGAAGCGAGAAGGCGCGGGCGGCGGCATCGTGTGGACCGGATCGTGGGATCGCGAAGTGAGCCTGATCAACGTCGATGACCTCATCATGGCCAGCCAAGACGCCGGTGGTGCAGCGACCACCGCGCGAGCCAAGCGCCACGGCGTCTACGCACCGACGGCGTTCCTGCCGGCGTCGTCGCTGCCCGCCCACTTGGGCTTCGTGGGCCGCCACTGAGTGCGCCGCGTGCGGCCTTCGGACGATTTATACGAATCGCTCCGCCAGTGGGCACACAGTTGTAGTTACGCGGCCCACTCGGAACACGCGCGAGGAAAGGCGAGAGCGAGTTCCGCATCCGGCGTGTTGGTTCGCTGCGGCGGAAAGGAACCACTCATTCAAAATATTTGTAAAATGACACAAACAAAATGATCGAACATTCTTGAGAATCACTTCGGCCCGAAAGAGAATGCGGGAAAGGGTTGGGAATGGGTGTCCCTCCGATAAGAAATAAAGCCCAGACCTCGATTCATCTTTAACTTCATACTCAACACGCGCCAATTATCAACAACGCCAGTCACGCGACAGCAAACAGCAGGTCACGCGGGTGTGCCCAGCATAACAGACTACAAAGATAGGATACATAAAAGAAAGATAAAGATGGCTTCGTTGACCTCGATAGATCTGCCGCCTCTTTGGGGCAAGAAGAAGTCGCCCCCGGCGTCGCCCACATCGTACTACCAGCAGGACCAGTCGGCCAGCTCCTCATCCTCGGCATCCTACCACACATCGAGCTTCGACGCCGAGCCTGTCCACCAACAGTCCTCTTCTGGCGGGTGGCGACAATACCTTGGCTGGGGCTCAAGCTCCAACTCGGCCTCCACGCCCACCTCTTCGTCCTCTTCTTCTTCTTCAAAGCGTGAGGAGGAACGACGACCGATTCGGGGCCTGGCAGGACAGGACAGGACGTACACCTAAGCAAGGGGCACGATCTTCGATCTGGATGAAGAGAAACGTCCGCAGAAGGAGATCGCGATCTCGATTCTGAGGAAGGACCGAGACGGGAATTTGTAGAGAAGGAGGGCTTGTACAAACATCAACGAAGACTGCAGGTTTCAGTCTTTTTTTAACATCTTTAATGATCATAATTCGCAACAAACCTGTGGCCACCTATGCTCATCCTGAAGCAACCGCCTCCCGGACCATTTCTGGTAGCAGCTTTTCCCTTTTCTTTTGTTTCTTTCAAATCTTTAGCTGTTTCAAGCATAACACGAGCTTCATGAAGTCACCACCACTAACAGAACAACCAGAAGCTGAGGCCCCCAAAGGTATCCCATCAAGGAGAGAAAAATGAAGGCGACAGATGGATGTTTTCGATCTTTTGGTGGCGTGTGGTGGTGCAGCGATTCCGGTGACCGTGTTGACGGGGTACCTGGGGTCCGGCAAGACCACGCTCTTGCGACGGCTCCTTCACCAGCACGCCCACACGCCGCTGCGCCTCGCCGTCATCGAAAACGAGGTACACCGCACACACTGCACCACCCGCAGACCGCACACACACACACACACCACCGCACGCGCATGATGGTGAACGTGCGCGCGTGCTGCATCAGTTTGCGACGTCTGGCATCGGCACGGAGAACGAGCTGCGTGAGGACGCGCAGCATGCGGCGTGCCGGGCGCAGATCATCGAGACCAGCAGCGGGTGCCTGTGCTGCTCGGCCGGCGGGAAGGACTTCAAGCGCGTGCTCGCCCAGCTTGTCGACCACCGCGACAAGTTCGACCACGTCATCATCGAGACCACGGGCCTGGCCGACCCCGCATTCGCCGCCACCTTTTTCAAACCCAAGTGC